TACACACAAAAAAAACTTTCTAAAGGTACAGAAGTAGCCATGAGTAAAAGTCCCATTACACTTTATTAAGCTCACTTGCTTTGTCTTGGAGCATCAGTGAAAAGAAAGGCTAGACTCCCCCCCCACACACACACACACACAGGCTAATTACACAGTTTTAGAGAAGTTTTTGGATGATGTTAACACATACACACAAAAAAAACTTTCTAAAGGTACAGAAGTAGCCATGAGTAAAAGTCCCATTACACTTTATTAAGCTCACTTGCTTTGTCTTGGAGCATCTGAGAACCATACCACCAGATCCAACACATTGATTTCTCACGTTTTGGCCTTAAGATCACGGGAAGCCGCATCAAAACTAAAGATCATACATCAAAAGTAAAACTTCCAAGAACATAAATTATTTGTCTCTGTTGTGACAATGGATACCCCAGTTTCCTACAAGCCTACCCTTAGCTGTGGTTTCTCAGCACAACATTCCCAAAAGAAGAAGGGAGGGCGGGAATCTGGGCTTGAGCTGCCAAGGAGAACAAGGCCGTCTAAGGAGGCCAAGAAGTGTCTCTTCTCACTGCCCCTGAAGGCATCCAAACCGGGAGAAACTCAAGCGCGGGGTAGGAAGCAAGACTGAGGGGCCTCAGACCGAGCTTTTGGAAAATAGAAAAGTCTCGCTCTCTGCCCCTCAGCCTAACTTCCTTTAATTTCCTCACAAGTTTCTCCCTCAAACTTCGGGCTTCCAGCCTGGAAAATGGGAGGATGGGGGTGGGGATGGGGAGTATGTTCCTCAGGATTTCTCGCTTTTCCCCGTTTCTATCCCTGACGACACAGCCCGTTCACTTCCAGCGCATTTTTACTCCTCGTCCAAAGACACAGTCGGCTGATTTCTCACTCCCCAGCCTGACCCTAACTCCCGAATCACTCACTGCCTGCCCGGAATCGCCATCTTGCTCCCGTCTCCGCTGAGCGTGGCCGACGCTGTCGTGACGCCGACGTCGTTACGTAAACTCTCGCGCGGCTTTGGGCGACCTAGACTCCGCCTAGCGGCTAGTGGCTTCTTTGAGTGACAGCCTCACAGCTGCAATTTGGAAACCGGCTGGCGTTCTGGACATAAGAGAGAAATCAGAATTCCAGGCTAGTAGTTCCCAAAGTGTGGTCCTAGTACCAGCACCAATGACATCACTTGGGAATTTGATAAAACTGCAGCTTCTCAGGCCCTGGCCCTGTCCTGCTGTGTGAAACTGGGATGAGGCTCAACCCAATTTTGGTGATACTCAAGCTAGAAAAACACTAGTCTAGGCTATCGATTTTTTTTTTTTTAACTTCTGAGGCATTCACCGTAAGTGTACTTAGCTCAGTGTAATTTGGTAGGAGATGGAAAATCTATTTGCTAATGGTAGCCCATTATAAACCAGAATTATTAGTAACACCAATTTTTTCCCTGGTACCACTGGGTATAGAAAATAAATGCATAGAGGATGCTTTTTAAAAAAGTAATACTGGTTTATAACGCTGTATATGACTCAGAGACTTAGAGTCACACCTCCCCAGATGGGCTCACCACAGTTCCCCAAACCCAGAGTTCTCCACCACGGTCCAGTAGGCCCCCTCCAAATTTGCCCTCCTCTCGTATACTGTACTTGGAAGGAAAAATTCCAGCCACTTTTCATCTGTGCACGCACTCACTCTTGCCCTATTTCAAAACATCCAACTATAGTTGTGGATTTGTTGGTTTCTTCTTTTAATTCTGTCATTTTTCTTTCATGTATTTTGAAGTTCTGTGAAGTATATGAAACTTTATTACTGTTATGGTCTCTTGCTTTGACCACTGTACCAATATGAAATGGCCCTCTTCACTCTTCTCTATGTACTTTATACACCAGGCTTGATTACATTGTCTTTTCTTTCCATATTTGTATTTTTAACCTATTTGTGTCTTTATTTCAAAATGGATCTCTTATTATAGCAAATATTGGGTCTTACTGTTAAGGGAAAGGACGTCCTAAAGGAACTCTGCAGAATCTTATGGACTCCAACCCCTACTCCAGCTTTCTGGACCCTAGCACCTACTCCAGTGATTGGAAACTACAACTCCCAGCAGAACCAGGTAAAGAACTGCGAGGACGCAAGGGCGGAGCTAGCAGGAATTCTGGGACATTTGGGGGATAAATAGGGTGTGATTGCATCTCTCTACCTCTCTTGCTTGGGAAACAGCTCTCTGGACCGCTTGACTTGGTGGCTTGACTTGGTGTTTTCAGTCAGCCAGTGGGTAAGGGACTCCAGTTACTTTGTATCCTGCTCTCTTTCCTTGGGTTGTTTCCTATTCCTTTCCCCTTTTGTAAATAAACCCGTTATTGACCCTTTTGTGTGTCCTTGCAGTGTAACTGAATACTGAGGCCCCACAGACAGGGGGCCCAGTCCGCTCTGGGCTACCATGTAACATTTTTTTTTTTATCCAATGACCATCTTTCTTTTAAATTGGATGTTTAAAACATTTTCATTAGGTGATTATTAGTACACATACAAATTGTTTTCTCTTTTACCCTTCTGTTCTTTGCCTTTTGCCTCCCTTTTCCCAACCTTTATGCCCTCTATAAATGTTGCTTTAAGGTTTCTAGTATATATCTGTAGCTCCAGCAAGGCACAGAGCAGGTTTTCTATCCATTTGGGCAGATGGGTAAAGGAGGAATCTTGGAGCCCTAAGTGGCTTTTGGGGGCTTTTAATGATCTTTCTATACAATTTGTATTGAGGCAGCCAGGTGCAGTGCAAGCAGGGGAGTCAGGGGGCCCGGAGGCTGGCAGGCCTCCTAGCCCCAGTAGAGTCATTTTTTAAAAAGATGTATTTATTTATGCATTCTAGAACTAGGGTGTAGTCCAGAGATAGAGAGGTGAGAAGATTCACTAGAGACAGAGTGGTTCAAACTCATGATGCAGTGGCTGCAGCTAGCTTCATAGTGCTGAGACAACACTTTGCGCCACCAGGGAGGGGCATGGATCTTCACTCTTTCTGGGCTCTCTGGCATTCTTTCCACTGCTGGATCTTCTATCTCCTCCTCCATCCCCACAGTCCTTATATGTTCAGTCTCCCACTCAGGTGCACCCACTCATGCACATGCACACTCCAATTCTGGTGCCGCCATCAGGCCTGTGTGTGACACCACAGGGTCGATCATTGATGCTAATAGTGAGGGTGGAAAAAACCTGATCACTTCAATTACCCGATGCTGTCCTTAAGTTATCAAACCCTACCTTCATATTATGTACAGTATAAGAAACTTAAAAAATATTTTCCAGTTTTCTCTTAGTCTTGGTACTATTGTTTTTACACATTTTTTAAAAAGATTTATTTATTTGTGCATACAGAACTGGGATACAGGCCAGAGGCTCAGGGGCTGTGAGAGGCTTCACCAGAGACAGAGTGGGGAGCAGAACAGGCAGATCGACGAAGTACACTGCTAAGGGGAGCAGCGGGCGGGTCAGGAGGTCTGCCGCGCCATGTGGTCACCTCCGGGGCAGGCGGGAATTGAACTCATGCGGAGGCGGCTCTAGATTCTCAGTGCTGTGCTTTAACCCGCTGCGCCACCAGGGAGGGCCCTGTTTTTACACATTTTTTATGGTACAAATGCACAATAAATTTTTAATGTTTTTGCTTTAAGCAGTCAATTGTCTTTCAAAAATATTTTTAAAATAAGAATACTGCAGTTACCCACATATTTACCATTTCTGGTGTGTTTATATCTTTGTGTAGATCCAGATTTCACCTAGTGTAACTACTTTTTAAAAATATATTTAAATATATAAGTATATATAAATGTTTTTATTGTTATCATATTTCACTATCAAAAAATAAAAAATATTTAAGAGACATACTATATGGTACTTCTCCAGAGAAATCGAGTCAATATGGGGGGAGGAAGGAGAGACAAAGAATTAAGGAATTGGGTGGTGCAATTATGGAGGATCACCAGTTCCAAGATATTCAGCTGGCAATCTGTAAATCCAGGAGAGCTGATAGTGTAGTTCTGTTTCACAGATCAGTCCATTCAACATCCAGGAAGAGCCACCATTTCATGTTGGGTAGTAAAGAGACCCAGAAAGCCAAGGGAAGGTGCTGAAAGTTACAATACCTTTTGATACAGTTAAAACAAAGGACTTGGGCCCTCCCTGGTGGCGCAGCAGGTTAAAGCACAGCACAAGGAAGCTTGGGCCACTTCCACATGGGTTCGATTCCCGCCTGCCCTGGAGGGGATCTACATGGTGCGTCAGACCTCTCCTGGCCCGCCTGCTGCTCCCCTCAGCAGTGTACTTTGTCAATCTGCCTGTTCTGTACCCCACTCTGTCTCTGGTGAATCCTCTCACCCTCCACATCTCTGGCCTGTACCCCAGTTCTGTATGAATAAATAAATAAATCTTAAAAAAAAAAAAGGACTTAGCAAATATGGACAAAGATATTGCAGATATATGGACAAAGATATTGCAGATATCAATGTTATCAGATATGGACAAAGATACTAGAACTATGTCCAGGAAGCTGTGATTCTAGAAGCTGGCAGTTCAAGATCAAGGCACCAGCAAATTCTGTATTTGGTGAGCCACTTCCTGATTCATAGCTGTCTTCTCTTTGTGTCTTCACCTGGCAGGAGGGGTAATCATCTTTTAAAAAAACAGCATTATTAAGATAAACTTCATATACCATATATATTCAGAGAATCACCATCACCATAACAATACCCCCAAAAGAAATTATGTATGTATTTTAATCACTTTCATATCCCCTAAGTAGCCAAGAAAACTCCAAACTACCTGACTTTAGGCAACTACTAAGTGTACTTCTGTTTCTATGGACTTGTAGGCCTATTTTTGCTCCACATTACTTGTAGCTCTGTTATTATCATATAAATTGTTATGTCTTCTAAATTAATTGACCCCTTTTCATTATAAAATGACCTTCCTTATCACTCTTTGCTCTGAATTCTGCTGTGTGTGATATAATTCCAGACGGTTTCTTTCGACACTAACTCCAGGGAGAGCACAAAAAGATGTTTAGAAAAGGAATAATTGTAATTAACTAAATGATTAAGCTCTAACTCATAAGTAATCATGGTCATTCAAACACTGAATATTGATCTATTTACACTTAATTACAATGTAACTCTGTTGGGAAGAAAGGAGGGATGGAAAGTGGCAGATTAACAGCTATTATTTAAATCAGAAACACACATACACACAAAAACTAGCCACATACACAGCATGTTATTTAACAATATAGTGGTGCATATCAAAATTATAGTAAAAATAAGGGTTGTCAAACATTTTATCTAAGGTCAAAAAGTAAATATTTAGACTTAGTTGATCATAAATCTCTGATAACTACTTAACTCTACCCTCAGGGTGAAAGCAGTCAAAAATAATATGGACATGGCTTTCCCAGTAAAACTTTATTTACTGTAAGAGACAACTGGCCAGATTTATCCTTAAAGGTTATTTATTAACACCTGAGCTAAAAGAATTGAAAGTAGTTGATTCAGAAGGATGGGAAACAGGGAACTAGGAAATGTTCTGGTTTAACAGACTCTGTGCAAAAGAATGCCTCCTTAAAAGATGAGCATTTGATACTTAGCTTAAAATAAAAATAATTTTAAAAAGGGTAAAAATAAAGCCCCCTAGTAAGACTATTTGACTCTTGCTTAAAATTATCTAGTGGACAACTCAGTATTCTATAAAATGTGCATCTTTGAGTTGTATTGAATTTTGTATTCCCCCTTGCTTTTGGGATGTTGTAATAGTTTTTAGATTTCCCAAAGCCAGAAGCCTGGTTTCTCAGATGCAGTATTGCAAAGAGTTCTTCAATCACTTAGCAGGACCTGTAGCAAAAGCAGTGAATCAGAAACTGTGTCTCTGTAGAAGCCTCCTAACATTTTGAGCCCAAGCTTGGTAACTTTAATTGAAGATACTGTAAGGACAGAAGCAGACTAAACCAGTAAAAAGTAGTATCAACAGCATCATCATTACTGTATCAGTCAGTCCAGCTGTCCTTCACTTGCACAAATAAAACTTCAAGAACAGAGTTAGTTGACTGAAAACAGATCAAAGGCAACTGTGGGAACCTCAGCGCCCTAATTCATGGGTTTTTCATGTAATCCTTTGACATTAATGTTATTTCTCTACTCTTTCAGTCCCTGCTTCTCTTTGTGTCCATTCTTTCCCCTAACCAACTGTTGGCTTTTTGCATTTTTACCTACAGTTTCTTCCAATTTGGAGTATGTTACACTTGAATCAACTTGTCTAAGGCCTATCAATGTACTTTTAACTTCTCTAAACACTTACTATCCTTCTGGATACTACTCTTACTGCTATTTCTGCAAGTGATTTGTCCATAGTTTGGGTACTTTTTTTACTAGACCATTTCAAAATTGGTTTCCCTTTGGCAAAGGGTCAACCCCAATTCAAACAACTGTGGCTGGAGAGTCCTGATTAATTGTAACAAAATATGGCCACCTTAGGGAAAAGGTGGCAGGAAATCTAAGTTTCAACAACAGATGTAGAAAAGGTAAAGTGCAGTTAATTACTAGGACTCACTGGGTATGCCTAAGGACAAAAAAAAAACCAGTCAATATTTAATTAATAGACGTTTTCGAAGACAGTTCTTTATAATAAGATGACATAGACAAGAGAGAACACAACTAATGAAGTTGTGGGGTGGGGTTAGATGAAAGTGAAATGGTATAAACCTTACCTAAGAGGAATGAAAATTCTCAAAACTACCTACAGCAGGCTTCTGAGGATCAGAGATATCTGTAGATGTAAGGATAACTGATTGCTTGATTGTATTAATATAGAGTAAGAAAAGTCAGTCACAAGACACTTCATATTTTATGACTCCATTCATACAAAATAGACAAATTCATAGAGAAGGCAATGGACATGGGAAAAAATGGAGGAATGTCTGTAATGGGTTTAGGATTCTTTTTTTTTTTTTTAAGATTTATTTATTTATTCATATAGAACTGGCCAGAGATGCGGAGGGTGAGAGGATTCACCAGAGACAGAATGGGGAGCAGAACAGGCAGATCAATGAAGTACACTGCTGAGGGGAGCAGCGGGTGGGTCAGCAGAGGTCTGCCTCGCCATGTGGATCTCCTCAGGGCAGGCGGGAATCGAACTCATGCAGAAGTGGCTTAAGCTTCTTAGTGCTGTGCTTTAACCTGCTGCGCAACCAAGAAGGGCCAGGTTTAGGATTCTTACTCTGAAAATTTTCTAAAATTGGTTGTTGAAATGGTTGCATTTATCAAGTTTATCAGTGTACTTTGTGAGCAATTGTATACTTTTTGTAATATATAATGGATTTTGAAATTTGAAAAATTGCTAATTTACTTTTTATACAAATGACATGAACATTTTATCTTGTGACTGGTTTTCTCAGGCTTTGCAGGTAAACAGTGGGAGATATGCAGAGTCTAGGAGAAGGGAAAAGGTGAAATCTTTTTTTTTTTAATTTTTTAAAAAGATTTATTTATTTGTGCATACAGAACTGGGGTACAGGCCAGAGGCTCAGGGGCGGTGAGAGGCTTCACCAGAGACAGAGTGGGGAGCAGAACAGGCAGATCGACGAAGTACACTGCTGAGGGGAGCAGCTGGCGGGTCAGGAGAGGTCTGCCACACCATGTGGTCACCTCCGGGGCAGGCGGGGATCAAACTCATGCGGAAGTGGCTTTAGCTTCTTAGTGCAGTGATTTAACCTGCTGCGCCACCAGGAGGGCCGAAATCTTTTTTTTAAGTTAATCATTGAGGTAACAACATATGAAGGTAAATTTGGTATATAAAACCACATATGATTCTGAGGTATAGATTCATAACTCTTCAAATGTATGTTACCACACCACCTATCAAGGCACTCATGGCCCTCTACCAGAGTCAAATGGACCTATTCTTTACTTTGTCCCCTGCCCCTTTGCCATCCCTCCTCGTAGCCTCATGAATTGTACATTTTTAAGTGGGTAAATAGTGTAGTATGTGAGTTATATTTCAATAAAACTGTTAAAAGAGCCAATAAGTGCTGTTCTTGAGATTCCAATATCATTATATTGAAATCTTGTCCCTAATCTATGAAAATCATAATTATACAGGAAAGTGGTCTGAATGGTATACACCATTCAGTGTTATTACCTGTAAGCTACCTGGAGAAAGAGCCAACAATAATCCAAATAGTGAAGTATAACCTTCAGAACTGTATGTAAATATAAGTAAATCAATAAATCAATTAGCAGTCAAATAAATGTTTTTAAATGCATTTCCTTATCAAAAGTATAAATAACATCCTCTTCATTAAAAGGGTAATCTCTTGATATTAAAGGGCAGAATTTATTTGAATGATCATTCAATAAATTCAATCAAACTGCCTTGCTGATAGCTAATTTAAAGTAGTTTCCAAGGGACTGATAGCATGTAAAGTCTGGAGATGCCTGGGGCTGCTGGCAAGGACAGTTAAACCAGAAATTCAAATTTGTATGTTTGCTGCTAGGTCTACCTTGCTGTCCTAACGTGAGTAGCACTCACTCTAAATCTGCTCCCTCATTTATAAAATTACTTATTTGTAAATTGAGGGATAATGATGTTTAGGTTGTCTATCTTTAAGTTATATACCATTTAGTTAACTTAATTCTCATGGTAATGGTTTAAAAGGTCACATTCTGCAAAGTCTTTCCCTCCTTGCTGCCTAAAATGTCATTTGTATTCACAAGTAAACTCTTTACAAGCTTGTTTTGAAGTCATCAGGATATGTGGCTATCAGTTTAATATCTTCAAGAACATTGTTCCTAGAAATATTGCTGCAGATGCCCTAAAAACCCTCTTCCACATATGAAACCGGCTTATAGGTTAAAACTGGGATATGTGATCATCCAAGAGATGAGGGCTGTTAATAAAAGCCATCTTATCAGAAAGGTTAAAAGGGATGCCAATCCCAAATTATAAGATGTTTGGAACACATCACATTTTGTCAAATAAAGAAAATGAAGTTTAATTTTCCAAAATGTTATTAAAAATGGACTCTGTCATCAGATATCTTATTGCAAAGATGAAATCTCAGAGCAGAGCAGTAAAGTTTACTGTAATAACAAGCTTTAAACAAATACAAGTTCTTTTTTGGAGTCCTTGACTTGAGAGGTTCTCATCACAAAGATAAGTGTGCTTTTCTCCCCCTTCAGAGTCATGGACATTTTCCCACAAGAATTTCTGTTCATTAAAATGATTTTTAAATTGTTAAGTGAGAGTGAGAGGTGGAAAGGGGGAAAGATGGTATTCATATTAAGTCTTTGAAAAGTTGGAAAAACAATCTCCAGTCCATTTCGTAAAACCTTTATTGTTTGGTACATTTTGATCCCCACTTAGTCTTTACTTTAAAAAGTTAAAATAACCAGCTAGTCAACTGTAATAATCCATAACAGATACTAAGCTTATACTAAACATATTCAATAACTACATTTAGTTATAGCAACCTAAACAGATAATTTTTTGGATCAAAATTCTCTTTAAGTATCACTTTGGTTTTGGAAAGTGCTGAGGTAAGTATCTAGGATTAACAAAACTGGACATAACAAAAGTATCCAAATACAGTTCCATTCCATTAGCTTTTTCCTAACGAGCTCCTGGCATTTTTGCATACATATAAGAATCGGTCTTGGAAGGTAATGGAGGTATAATAGCACAATTTAGCTTTTTACTTAGCTTTACTAGAGCTAAACAGATGTGTATCCAGTGGTACAGGTATTCTATAACAACATTACCAGATTTCCATACTTCAATTCGAGAATGATCTGCACCAAGAAAAAAAAAATGGACAGTTTTGTACTTTGATTATTAAATATATGTTCCAGTATTATAATGAAAGTTCGTTAAATAGTTTTGGGTCAAAACCATAGCAGAATCTTACATAGGTAATTATAGGAAAGTGGTAAATAAATTTTGGCATATTCACTTAGTGGAATATGATATAACATTTAACAAAATTATAAAACTAGAGCTATAAGTATAATCGTGGGTAAATCTCAAAAACATACTGTGCACAAAGTGTAAGAGGTAGCATTATATACTTGTGAATATAATTTAAAAACCTGCAAAATAGTATAGCGTGTATGGATTCTAAATTTTATAACACAAAAATAATGTCTTTTCTCTTAATTATAAGTGTCCAATAAATGTGGAATAATTGAAACAACATTAAAATATGCATTAGGGTAGGTTTTCAAATACTAAAGGTCTTTTCAAGTTGCAGTAGAGTAACATTAGTGAGTGAATTGTGAATGAAAACAATAACAAATGCTGGTCACAGAGCACATTAAAAATACCTGATTTAGTTCGTGTAATGGTAATATAGGGCCAATTAACATACGTAATTATAATATAAGGTGTATTTGTTATAACCAACCCCTTTTTGTCTTAAACGTCCTAGAACCTTTTCAAAATAATGATATAGGTTTCAAATATTCCCTAGTTATATTTAATGTTCCAATGTTATGAATCTAGACCGAGTGTTTACTCTGGAACATTCCTAAAACTAGTCCTAATTATTTGGAGACGTAACAGTTTTGTTGCTCCACACAGCTTTTATTTTGTCTTTCTTAGATTCCCATTAAGAACTCTGCTCCACTGATGCTTGCCAGTGCTCTTATCGGAACATCCAAATGAACAGACCGATATCAACAACCATTATTAAACTAGTTGGCCATCTCCATGGTGATTCAAGGACAGTAGATGGAAAGAGAGGTCGCTTCCTTTCATGAACCCTGTTGCTTATTTCCTGTCTTATTGTTACTGGGGACAGAAGCTCCGAACCTGCCTAGGCAGCGGTTCTTTCCCTGACCTTTACAGTGAAATTGATGAGCTAACAATTGACTCTAATGATTGCTCTAAAGAGGTCTCTATCCTTCTTTTGAGTTTCCATCAACGACGGTTGGGCGCTCCTGCCCTCTTGTGGTGAATAGACGCAGATCTTTGCAGTTCAACTGATGACAGCCAGTTTGCAAAGATTTGGCAATTCTTTCAAATATATATACTACTATTTTTTTCTAACCACAAGAAGCTTTGTTAATTTACTTTGCATTGATAAAGATACAGTAAATTACTTAAAGGCATCTGAATTATTAAGAATTGTTAGGTCAGCCTTGGAATCTATGTATCTTTTAATTTAGAAAATTTAATGGTATTTTTCAAACTTAATTCTGTAAGGAATACGTTTTGCTGAAAATACAGGATATTTCTAAATTGAAATTCTATTTAAGGATCCTTGTTTTAACACTTTTAAGTTAAATCGTTTGGGGATTATAGACAATTAGAAAGATGTACAAAGCAAAAAGAATTAATTAAACTTCAAGTACAAAAGTTACTACTTTCAACTAAAATTGAAACTGTTACTTTCAACTAAAAACTCTTTCAAGATAAATAGTGTTTACTGAATGCTTCTCTCCTTAATCATTAGTTTGCTCAGTTTTAGCTTTATTTCTTTTGCTTTACTCATGTTCACCTCTTAACATTATTGCCAAACACAATGAGCAGAAGGTCCATAAAAACTTACACTTTTAACAGGATATTTATGTAAAATTTCAACCAGTTTTTTTGGAAGATTTATTTATTCGTACAGAACTGGGGTACAGGCCAGAGATGCGGAGGGTGAGAGGCTTCACCAGAGACAGAGCGGGGAGAACAGGCAGATGGATGAAGTGCACTGCTGAGGGGAGCAGCGGGCGGGTAAGGAGAGGTCTGCCCCGCCATGTGGATCTCCTCCGGGGCAGGCGGGGATCGAACTCATGCAGAAGTGGCTCAAGCCTCCTTGTGCTGTGCTTTAACCTGCTGCGCCACCAGGGAGGGCCCACAATCAGTTTTTATGTAGACAGGAGAACTCATTTTTGAGGAGAACTCATAAGTGATATGTCAGTTGTGCATTTAATAAGTCACTGTTAATTTAAGATGTCTCCAAAGGAACTATAGATTGCTACATTATAGCTTATTGGGAATCACTTTTAAATGATAATGTGTTGTAGTCTCTATTTTCCTAAATTCATTAATGAAGTCCAGATTCCTCATGGAAAAAGTACACAGATTTAAGGGGAACTGGTTTATAGGAATATAGTGTTATTATCTCTACTTTTGAACCTCTCATAAGTGATTAGAAACCATTTAGTTTTCTAATTATTCTGATAAGTAAAGTAGTCAATATTTTCCTGAAAAAAATGGAGAGGTAAAAATACATTTTTCCTGGGCCCTCTCTGGTGGTGCAGCAGGTTAAAGCACTGCACTAAGACGCTTAAGCCACTTCCGCATGAGTTCGATCCCCGCCTGCCCCGGAGGAGATCCACGTGGTGGGGCAGACCTCTCCTTACCCGCCCGTTGCTCCCCTCAGCAGTGTACTTCATCCATCTGCCTGTTATCCCCGCTCTGTCTCTGGTGAAGCCTCTCACCCTCTGCATCTCTGGCCTGTACCCGAGTTCTGTATGAATAAATAAATTAAAAAAATACATTTTTCCATGAGTTATCGAAGTTTGAGAGACATTTGTTTTGGCGTGAACACTGAATTCTTGCAGGTATATTAATTTCACTCCTATTGTAATAATAATTTCCATACAGTGTCACAGGTGTTGGGTATGTGATATAGTTATAAGCCAAATTATGTGTGAACTAAAATCAATACAATTTGTCTTCACAAAAACTCATAGCTTAATCCAATGGCTTCCAAATTCTTTTGATGATGTATCAGTATGTTAAGCATGAACCCTAACATATGTTATTTATTTCTAAATTGCTTTTTTAAAAATTTAAAGAAAAATTAAAATTAGATAATGATGTGCTAAATCATTACATAAAAGTCCTACGATATTTTCCTTGGCCCCAAAGGTAGAGATTATCAATTGTTTTCTCCTTTTTGCTTTGTGCTTAGTGGGGACTTCTGTAGGAGTCTTAATAATCAGTATATGCTTTCATACCCTCCATGTTTTCACTCTGATAATCTCCCTCCTCATCTGTGTCTGATTCAGAGAGTTCCTATGTTATCCTCACTAAGGAATACATTACTAGGATTGTGAAGGGAAAGATGCAAGGTGATATCATGTAGAGAAGATGAGATACAGAATCCCAAACAATAAAACAGAAGGAAATAGGAAAAATAACACAGAGAAGAAAACTTTAAAAATAATTACCATTAATATCCTCAGAGAGATAAGACATTGAGTCATGAGACATGAACAAAACATTATAGAACGCAAATAGTTAGAGAACAACAAAATCTCTTAGACATTAAAACATACAGAAACAAAAGTTCAGTAAGATTAGAAGATAAGGTTGAGAGAATTATCTCAGATAGTAAAGCAAAAAGAACAAAAACTGAAAAATTGGGTAGAAAATGTAGAGATTTTGGAGGAAAACCAATGTCTAACTAACAGTATTTCCAAAGGGAGAATACTAAAAAGGGAGGGTAGGCCCACCACCAGCCTTTAGGTCCCCACCTTTGTATAAATGAGATAGTCACCTACCACAGATGAATGCACTCTATGAACAGAAAAAGAGACCTCTCTTTTGAACAGAGGTAGCCTTAAGGTCAGGCACACGATTTAGTGAATCAAATCCTGCTTACTTTTAGCTCAGCAGGCTACCTTAGTAGCACAATATAGTGCACAGTCATAAGTAGTAAGCTTGATGCTATGAAGGAAATTATTTAGGAACTAAGGCCTAAAGGCCCAGTAAGTGCTCAGATCAATGGTTGGAAAAAGAGCCCTATCAAGGCACATCACTTTGAAATTCACAATGTTGGTGGTAATAGGTGTGATTCTACAATTTCTGCAGAGAAACAAAAACAGAAGTTCACATGTATAGAATCAGAAATCAGAGAGGTTTCAGCTTTCTTAACAGACTTCTTGGAAGTTTTTGGGTTTTCTCTGATGAAGGTAACATTTCCTCAAGTAATTAAACATAGAGTTCTGAATGACCTTATATAATTATATAATTATATTAATTATATACTAGGTTTTTTTAAAAAAAAGATTTATTTATTTATGTTTACAGAACTTGGGTACAGGCCAGAGGTTTGGTGGATGAGAGGATTCACCAGAGACAGAGTGGGGACAGAAGAAGCAGATGTACTGAAATACACTGCTGAGGGGAGCAGTGGGCCGGTCAGGAGAGGTCTGCTGCTTCATGTGGGTCAGCTTCCTGAGGTGGGGTACAAAGGGGAGGGGAGGGATGGAACTCCTGCTATAGCAGCTTCAGAGAGCTTCATAATGTGGTGCTTTAACTCGTTGCGGCGCCGCCAGGGAGAGCCCTATATACTAGTTTTATACTCCAGAGAACTAAACACACACACACAGCAAATGTTAGTGGTAGCATTCTTTCAAATGCCATAAAGTGGAAACAGCCACTCATCAACTGGTGTAAAGATAAATTAAAAGAGTGAAGTGCTGATACATGCTAGAACAAGTTTCATGTAGGAACTTCAAATATTGTGCTAAGTGAAAACAGTCAATTACAAAAGGTCAAATCAAAATAGGCAAATCTATAGAGTCAGAAATTAGATTATTAGTTACCACATCTTGCTACAGATCTTGGTTAAGAGGGGAAGAAAAGACCTGATAATGGTTATTGGATTTCTTTGTGGAATGATGAAAATATCCTAAACATGGTGAATATGTTTTTAAAAATCACTGAATTCTATACTTTAAATTTCACTTTAAGATAGTGAAATTTATGATGTGAATTATATATCAATTTCTAAAAAATACAATGGGGCAAAGTTATCAAAATTATATTCCAGTAAACTACAAATCAAATATGAGGGTTGAACAAAAACACTTTTATACATGTAAGATCTAAAAAAAAAAAAAATAGTATTCATACACTCTCCTAAAGCCACAAGATATTGCTACCTTAAAATAAGAGAGTGGACCAAGGAAGACTAAATCAAGAGAATGGCAAAAGGCATTGGAGCAAAATAAATTTCAGAAAAGCTGCTGAGGAACAGGTCTAGAATGGCAAAAGATCCCAGCTAGAAAGAGAATTGAAGAGATGGCTTCAAGAAGAAAAGAAATTAAACCTGAAAGAAAATTACTTGGTAGAACTGCCTGTTTTAGAAAATTATATGAAAATACAAATGAAAGGGGTGGGAATTATCAAAAATTACAACAAATTTTTTTTAATAAAAGGCAATTGTCTACTTAAGAAAAAAAGAATAAAAAAGGAACATTCAAAATATGTTATAATTCTCAGCTGTGGATAATATCTGCATAGGTAAATCATAGGTAACATCACATTTTTATTTAACCCCAAATTATAACTACAGTAGAAAGATAGGCTAAGAAAACACTGTAACACAACTGAACTTTCATCTATAAGACAAAGTCAGCTAGCAAGGTTTTAAAATAATAAATCAAAACATAACAACATTATATAATATTAGAAATATAGAGTCATGTAAATGCCAGAAAAGAAACAAAAGAGTCAAAAGAAATTTTTCCTGCTGAGGGAGACTGGAGAGAATATGAAGAGAAGAGGGGTGGGCTATGGACAAAGTTCTATATAATCTTTTAAAGTATTTTAATAAAAAATCTAATATGTATCCTTTTGGAGAAAAAATGAAAAAAAAAATACAAGTGCTAAAAAAAAAAATCCCAACAACAAAAATATGTTTGGCTTAAGTAGAAAAATATTTTCATGAAATTAATTTGTAATAGCCTTTATCAATTATCAAGCAGTAGTAATATTACCCAGACAAATAAAACCATTGTTAGTTGTTTTTCTTAATTCAATAACTACTGTTGGCAAACTTCAAAATTTAAAAACAGAAGTGATGATAAGGAACAGATAGACAATTGCTGATTTAATTTTTCCTATAGATATCTAATTTGGAATGAAAATAGAAGGGGTCCGCATGCATGAGAAATGAGTCAAGTAGCCAGGTTCTGGGTCTTTGCCAAATCCCAAAACAAACTCCCAAACTCCTAATATTTTAACTAAAAGACCCTTTGAGAGGTTCTTGTCTGGACAAAGGAGCCTATTCTAAAGTTGAATCAATATTTCTTCTTTTAGAGCCTGAACTCCATAAGCAATTTATGTGTCATACTCTAGGTTTCTAGTTGGAACAACTTTTCTCCAAGTAGAGCAGACACACTGGAATATTACTCAGGCATAAAAAGCAAATGAAGTCCTGCCATTTGCAACAACCTTAGGGAATTATGGTAAGTGGAATAAGTCAAACAGAGAAAGGCAAATGCTATATGAACTCACATATGTATAGGACATAAAAGAAAATAAACTCATGGTAAGAAAACAGATCAGTGGTTGCCAGATAGGAGGATTTTGAGGGAAATGGGCAAAGGTGTTCAAAAGATAGAAACTCATAACAAATTCTGAAGATGAATGTCCAGCACAGGGAGTAGAGTTAACAATATTGTAATATAATTTGAAAGTTGCTAAAAGAGTAGTTCTTAAAAGTTCTCATCATAAGAAAAAACAATTTGTAACTATGCTAGGAGGTGGATGTTAACTAAACCTATTGTGACCACTTCACAATATATACATATATAAGCCACCTTATTGTACGCCTTAAACTAACACAATGTCATATGTCTCAAGAAAACCAAGAAATCAAAGTCTACATGTCTAAACATTAAAAAAACAACTACTTCTTTCTAGGAGTATTTCTACAACTAAGATGAAATGGAGTGAAACTTGGCAACAGAAGCCCTAAGAAATTATGGGCATATCAACGGCCTTAATTCTATATTCATGGCAAAATCATTAGTTTGGAGAGGTTGGTGGGTTAGGAGCTATTCAAAAGTCCCTCCCATCCTGGGCAGATCCTATGCTATTGTTGTGACATTTCATGTTATAGGATCATGAAGTAGGGGCTTTAATAATTCTAGAAAACTCAGATGATAAGCTCTGAAGAACAGATTGCTCTGTGAAAATACTCCTCTTTCTGGAACAAACAGAAAGGTTAAAAAAAAAAAAAAGAGTTCCAAATGGGGAGCTTAGAATTTCCTGATATAATTACATCTAAAGGAGAAAGGGCTGCTATCTGTGGCTGAGACTGATAAAGCTCTATGGTGCTGGTGGGGAGCCTTGAGGCTATTGGTTTCTGGCTGCAGCCGGCTCAGTTAACTACAGTTGTAATTCAGCCACCTGGGGATGCTGTTAGAAAACAGAAAGTGGTGGGGAGCAGAGGAGTTCAAGGTTGCTCTGGAATCACTATCTTAGTTCAAAGTGGAGACTGGACGAGGAAACAGAAATTTGCTGTGTTCAGAAACAAAGGAGATTAGTATGATAACAGGAGGTAGTTCTGATAGGCAAATCAAATGGGAGGTGGAGGCTGAAGAGATTCCTTAGAGGGTCTGATCCAAAGCCATAGAAGATAAATGTCTTTGACTAGAGATGAGCTCATTAAAAGCTGAATATACCTACCGGGTGGAAAGTGACTGGGTCTGCTTCTCATCCCAGCTCGTATCTGATGGAGGGACTTGATTGGACATGGGTGGATGCCTGAGTCCTCATCCAAGGAGGGAAGCATTAGGCTCAAGGGACACAAGTAATCCTGACATCAGGGTCGACTGTGGGCCAAGGGGCTGGCAGGTTGGGTGGGGACCAAGGTAGAACAGGAGCTCAGGTAGAATGTCAATTAGACAAACTGATCATACTTAGAGCATGAGTGCTGGTGTTAATGACAGAGATTAAATCTATTCTAAAGGGAAGAATAGCAACTGGGCACTGACACATAAAAGATTTTTTTCTGAAATTTTAAGACCTTGAACAGTGAGTAGGTGTATAATAAAATGAGCATTCATTTTTGTTACTGTTTCCTTTGAATAGCTCCTGAATAGCTCTGTGAAAGTAGGTATATCTGTAACACCTAGCCAGGAATTTAAAGTAAAAGCTATTCCAAATTCTAAACTTTATGCACATCACTCATAATCCATATGAAACTCATTAACATTTATTTTATTTATTTATCTTTTCTCTAGCACTCTGAAACTTCTGATAGTATATCTTGCCTTCTTAGGCCAGACTCTCTCTCTCTTTCATATATCTTCCCTGGCTCACTGCTACATGCTTCCACTGCTGCACACAGATGTTGTCTTCCTCTAGGTTGTTTTTTCTTTTCTCTTGTCCTAGTAGAGGACTCTGAACCTCTTGAGTAGATGTTCTGAGCCTCTTGGCCTAAGGTCTAATGGTAGATTTAGTAAATAACTTCTATAGAGCCATTTTTTTTTATAGAGTGAATGATTAGCTTCATATTAATGAAATTTTGTTTAAATTTATACCTTCTATTCACAAAAACAACCTGAGGTCCTGATATCTCTGCTGGGGTAACACATACAGGGAGCCTTGGGTTACTGACCATACTCTGTAGTCACAGAACTCATCACCTTCTCCAACTTGGAAGACTTACACTGTTCTAGCTTTCTGCAAATTATCCTCTTCCAAAAAATTGACAGTACTAATCTATAAAGATGCATAACCTATTATTTTGATTCTTCATTCAAATGATAGATGATAAACGTTTTTGCTTAATGTACTAATTCTTATCCTTACTACAGCCCCTATTTTGCTTTCATTTTTTAAAAAATATTTATTTATGCATACACAACAGGGGTATTAGGTGAGAATTACAGGGGCAGTGAGAGGATTCACCAGAGACAGAGTGGGGAGCAGAACAGGCCAATCGAGGAAATACACTGCAGTGGGCGAGATAGGAGAGGTCTGCCTCACTATGTGGTTTGCCATGTGGTTTACTTCCGGGGGCCAGGGATCTCTAACTCCCACTCCCACTGAAGTGGCTGCAGCTCACCTGTAGTGTGCTTTAACCCATCACACCACCAAGGAGGGCCCTGCTTTCATTTTTTAATGAATAATGAACATGAAGTCAATAAGTGAGAGACAGATATGCTTCTGAAATCTCATGTTTGGCATAGACAGTCATTTTGGGGAGAGCATTAGGGACATTACAGACGATGTCCCTGTTTTGGAATATATAATCAAAACTATGTTTTTCTAAAAATTGAGTTTATTATTCATTTGCTTTATTCTAATAGAAACTTCTGAATTGACACTATGTTTTATTATGTATTTTTGGTATAGATTTAGACGATAATTAAGTGGATATTTACCTTTAATATATTCATCAATGAGCTGAAAATTAATTTTCACATGCTCTGTAGTTGGGTCAAAATCACAAATTTTCTCCACTAAGCATGTGTTAACCAACTGTGAACAAAGAACAAATTATAAGGTCATTAGCAAGTGGAAGCAGAAGGTCCAATACACCAGAATAAATAATTCCATTTACACAAATTTTAAAACAGGCAAAACCAGTCTATGATGTTAGAAGTCAGAATTCTGGCCATTCTTGGGTTAAATGTATAACCCAGGTATAAAGGAGGGTTTTGGGGATGTCACTAATGTCCTATTGTATGATCTACATGCTGGTTTTAAAAATATTCACTGTGTAAAAATTTTTGCATTTCTACACTTTTATTTAAACAATTAAGATTGTGTGGGTTATTTTTCAACAAAAAGTTTTTAAAAACTTACCAATTTACACATATCCCAATTTCCAGGTTCATTTGATAATTCCACCTCTGGATAAAAGAACAAGATAACCGCTTTGAGGATGTCATGTGTTAGTTTTTTGTGGGCTTCCAACTCTTGGGGCTCAATTTTTAGATTAGCTGGAGATTTATATTCATAGAGCACTAATGATACAAAGTCCATGGAGTTAAACTGTTGGAAGTTTAACTTCAGCTCTTGTAACATGATTCGGAAGAAGAGAACTCCTGCCCGCTGGACTTCTCCTACATGTTCAATCTCTGGAATGATATTCAGTACATATATTACTTTTTTTTTTTTTTACAGAGGTTTTTGAACATAATATATTTAGATAATTTTTCAGGAAAAGAAGACTGTATCATATCATTTCAAACAAACTTAGTTTCTCTAGTCATGAAATTGAAAGGGAGAAACAGAATTATATCCGGTCAAGCTCACAGGAAGAAACTTAGAAAAGAAGCTAAAACTTGGGTTTTGGAACTAGACCTTATTTGAACTTACTCTCTTTCCTTTATTTGTTTTGTTTTCCCTCTGAATATCCTTTCTTTTTCTATCCCTACTTACCTGGTGAACTTTGGGAACTAAATGAGATATGTAAAATTACTTAGTCTTAGGCCGTATGCATTGTGAATACTTAAAAGGTGAGACTTCTCTTTTTCTTATCCCACCATATAAAATGAATAGAAATCTTTGGTTAATTTCATAGAATGCTATCCTTCTAATGCTATCATTACATTCTAGGTAGTCAAAGGTTTCAATGCCTCCCACTCCCCTCCCTTCTGCCCAAAGTGGTGTGTGGAAAAACTAGAAGTATCTGGTCTTGACCTTGCCATGAGTTTGATATTGAAACTTTACTCTGATGAGTTAAAGCCCAAGCTCTTTTATTTGTAAAATGAGATATTCCAATGAGGTAATGTTGTGTAATATCGTGGAAAGAGCACCCAAACTGGGTGCAAAATCAAACTTCATCACTTATTAACTTTGATTTGATACAAGCTGTTTTGTTTCTCTGAACTTTACTTTATTCACCTGTAAAAAAAGGTATCACCATTCACCTTATAAGGTGGGTAAGAACAAATTGAAATCATTTATGTAAAGTAATTTATACATGATGGGGCATTTAATAATGCTAGTTCCATGTTGCCTTTATGAGTCCTTCCCATTCTAAAACATTATGACTCTAGCTAAAATAATGTGATTCCCTATCCCTATTAGAGATCTCCATTACTCTAACTTACAGACCTTATTCAATGGCCCAAGATTGTTTGAGGGAATTCCTTTCACTTGGAAAGATGTGTATAATACAATCACTCATTTTAGAAAATGTATTTTTCATTGTATAGTCTGTGATTACCCCAAAACTTATCAAACTCATGAATCCAGACTGTTGCTATGTTTATAATACCTAAAATACAGTTTTTCTTTATTTCTCCAGATAATTCGCCTAGTATTTCATAGCATGCAGCTTGAGTAGCTTTCATCATTTTCTGAAGATCTTTAAATTCTTGATACAACAACATCTTATTCTTGCCAAAGTTAAAATCAAGAACTCCCAACGCTTCTCCTGTTCTTTCACGAAGTGGGATTACCATGTGAGTTTGTCCATGGACAGAGGACAAAACAACTTGTGAAGAGTCTGTGCACTTAAAAAGGTAATCTCTGAAACCAAAACCAAATAAACATGAGGACATAAGACATCAAGACGCTCAGATCATCCCACCCCAACATATTGAATCATTCTCTTTGGTGCCTACTACTTTTAACCCCAAGCAGTTTTTGTTGCTATTTCATCTTTCTGGACCACTTCACCCATTGATTTCACAGGGCTCTTCCTCAGCTCACTCATTTCCTCATTGAGAAACTTTCCCTGACTGCCCTCCCTGGCGGTGCAAAGAGCTAAAGAAAGCATAGCACTATGAAGCTGTCTGCAGATACTGCAGCACACGTTCAATCCCCAGCCAGGGAGGTGAGCCACATGGCAGAGCTCTTCTGACCAGCCCATTGCTCCCTTTGGCAGTGTATCTCAGTCAATCTGTCTGTTCTCCCCATTCGGTCTTGGTGAATCCACTCACCACCTCCTCTCCCTGTACCTTTGGCCTGTATCCCAAGTTCTGTATGCATAAATAAATAAATCTTAAAAAGGAGAGAGAGAGAAAACTTCCATGACCATACAACCTAAAGTAGTAATTCTTAAGAAACTCTGCATGATGATATTCATGTTTATGTCTTTACAATTGTTTTCTTGTTTATATATTGTCCAATAAGTATTGTTTGGATGCCTGGAATATGTTAGATTGGATTCCCTAGAAGATGAGCCGGAGATATGCTTGTGCAAGTGATTTATTGAGGGAGTGCTTTTAGGTCTGAGGAAAGCAGTAGAGGGCAGGGAGAGAAAATAAGTAAGATTGAGATCACAGGTAAAGTCTATAGCCTCTGCCTGACCTCAAAGGGAGCACTTTGAAGCAAATCATGCTGAATAATCTGTCCCACATTCAGGCAAGGGAGACAGAGATCCTTTGTCAGTCATTGGCTCTAAGCTACTCTGGTTGTGTGTGGGGAGGAGGGTATTTATATAATTCTTAGACATCTGGTGAAGGGCTTTCCTCTCTAAGGGCACTCTTACAGAGAAAGTTACTGTGTAAGCCACTGGTTACAGTGTCTACAGCAGTTGGTAAAAGGTATATTGGGGATCTGGTCAGGATATCAACAGCATCTGTTTTGGTGAGGGACCTGAGATTTTCATAATTTTTATTATTATTATTTTTTAAAGATTTATTTATCTATTCATACAGAACTGGAGTACAGGCCAGAGATGCGGAGGGTGAGAGGATTCACCAGGGACAGAGTGGGGTGCAGAACAGACAGATCGACACAGTACACTGCTGAGGGGAGCAGTGGGCACGTCAGGAGAGGTCTGCCACGCCATGTGGCGGGGATCGAACTCATGCGAAAGTGGCTTAAGCTTCTTAATGCAGTGCTTTAACTCAATGCGCCACCAGGGAGGGCCCATACATTTTTTAAATGAGATATATATCTGTTTCTTTTTTATCTCCTTCCCCTCTACATTGATAGTGAAATAGATATCCTTCCTTTTAGATATTTGTAAAATTGTTGGTGTTTTGCATGACCTTAAAAAAACAAAACAACACATACATTTAAAGTTCATGATATCAATTCTATAGTGATGGGTTAAGACTGGGCCTTTCTTTTGTTATTTTTACCCTTCCCTGACAAGGAGCTACCACCATGTGTCTTTATAATAACCACAAACTTTCCACGCATAATGATAAAGTTGACTGGTTAACAGAGCTCCTCCAAAAGCATCAAAGAAGAAGAATCAAAGTTTATAAGCCTGGGTATTATAAGGGCTCCTGTAAATCTCTTGATTGGCACAAGGAATATTAAAAATATGGGAAAAAGCTTAACTCTTAATGAACATTCAGTTCACTTAAAATTCTAAAATTTAATTAAATTGTTATTTATACATCAAATTTGCCCACAGTCTTATATGGGCCCAATCTTAACCCATCAACTACACCTATCATGTAGGGAGTCTGCCCCTTTTGCAAGAGGTATGTTCCTAGCTTGCAACTGCTGAGTAATAGCGTTTCTTGCATCTCACAGGTGAAAGGCATTCAAAGTAATGTAGAACTGATGTTTATTGGCTAACATTCTCTATCTCCTCATATAGCTCCAGTCTGACTTCTTTAAATAAAAAATACACATTCACAGCCAGCTAACGTTTAGATGATAAGTTCCAATAAGTGATGTGGATGTATGTTTTTTTTTTAACTTTGGGAAATCTATATATATATTTTTTATTTTATAACAGTTTATTTTTACATCATTTTGTACATTTTTTTTTCATCTCAATTGTAATCCCCGCGGGTTTCCCATCACCATGTCACCCGTGTGCCATCACCATAATCCTGTGCACTTCCCTCCCCACACCCCCGTTTTTGATCCCATCCCCCACTCCACCCCCCGCAAAATGTCTCTGGTATATGGTTGTTCATTATTTTTGTTATTTTCTCGCTTGGTCCATTATACTCCTGCTATGAGTGAAACCATCCAGTATTTTTCTTTCTCTTTCTGGCTTATCTCACTATGCATGATCTTTTCCAGCTCCAGTGGATGTATTTTTAAAATAATATGATAGTTTGTTTTTACATCATTTTGTGCCTTTTTCCACCTCAGTTGTAATGTGGGTATATTTTTTATAACCATTGTGGGTTTTGTTGAACCTCATGTTTACTAAAAAATCCTAGAAATTAAAATACCATCATGTTTAAAGGCATAAAATCTAATATAAAATACCAAACAAAACCTACTTTTAAAATGACTGGAGGGAAGGCATTTTATGTACATATCTACCACACAAACATTTTTTTTAATCCAGTCAGCCTGAGAGACAGAAGTTATGTCTCTGAAATCTACTATTATAACAAATTTGGGTGAGGAAATATACTGGAAGTCAAACAAAACAGATATAAGGTGGATCTCATACTTGAAGATGCATGTCTTCCTGAAGATGGTAGGGGGAGTCTTGTGGATTTCTGTTAGACCCTTCTGCCCTGTAACCATCATTTTGCGGAGGACATAGTTTGAGCCCTTGAAAAAAGGAAAATATTAAATTATAGAGAGGAATAATTATACCTCCTATGCTTATCAAAGCTTTTGGGGACAAATAAATGGAAGAAAATTAGAAATGCTTAGATGACCTCAAGCTTTAAGTACAGTCACATTTTTCTTCATAACTTTATGGAACAAGGTGTTCCACAAGAGAAAAAGTTCAAAACACATAATTCTTTTAAACGCACAAAATTATTTTTTATAACTGTGATAAAATTGCATTTATCTGTTTTTCTGATATAAAAAGTGCATTGCAGTGCATTTGAAAAATACAGAACAGTCTGTAGAAAATAATTAAAATAAAAAAAATCTCTAGCAAAGGTTTTTGTCTTCACCATTTCCCCAAAACTGTTGTTATCAAGGTTAGTATTGATTCACGCTCAGTGGTAAATTCATTGATCAAACTGAGCTTCACTTTCCTCTATCTCTGTGAATTTGATACAGTGGACAACTCCCTTCTTGGTATACTTCATTTGTTTGACTTTTGGAATACTGTTCTCTCTCGGTGCTCCTTCTGCCTTATTCTCACATTCCTTGCAAACTCTCTTTGACTTCCTCATTTCTAAGAGGTTTTCAAATTGTAGGTAATAATTTATCTGTTTCTAAAACTGCACATATTTAATGTATGCAACTTTTTAAAAATAGAAGCTAGTTTTATTTTTCTTAAATTTATTTTTATGAAAACAGTATTTTTAAGGAGGCATATCCTTTAAATACAAGCAATTATAGGAGAAAAAAATCATCTGGGAAAGGTAAGGAGAAGTTTTAATGTCCTCTAAAAAAGTTATGTGATAAAAAGGTAAACTTTTAAAAAAAAAGATTTATTTATCCATACAGAACTGGGGTACAGGACAGAGTTGCAGGGGGTGAGAGGACTCACCACAGATAGAGTGAGGAGCAGAACAGGTAGACTGACTGAAATACACAGCGGGCATGTCAGGAGTGGTCTGCCACACCATGTGGGTCAACCCCCTTGGCCTGGGATCCAACTTGTGCTGCGGTGACTGAGATAGCTTCACAGTGCCGTGCTTTAACTATTGCACTACAAGGGAGGGCCCATAAAAAGGTAAACTTTGATCGGATTGATAGGTACTACATGGTGAATGGTGTTTGAAAGAAAACTACTTTGTAATGTGAAATCTTTTCATCTCTATATTCCATGACATCAAGTATATTACAAAACTCAAAGTGTTTTCAACATAATACTTGGTAAACCAGAAGGATTACCCCACAATGACAACTGAGCCTTTTTCCTAACTTATTTAATAATTTATTATTCAATGTTATCAGTAACTAGATGGATAAGATTTTTTACATCTTGCTGTGATTATGTTTCTAATTTTAAATATTTATACAAAACTGAACAATTACTCTTCTGTACCTAGTACAACACACCCCCATCACCACCACAACCCAGTTGTGTAAACTGACTACTTCTGCTGTTAGACCAGAATGAGGATTTTTTAAAAATTTACTATTTAGTTTATTTTTATATCATTTTGTGCCTTTTCCATCTCAGTTGTAATCTCTGTGGGCTTCCCATCACAAAATCACCTGTGTGCCATTACCACAGTCCAGTGCACTCCCCCCACCCCATTTTTGATCCTATTCCCTACTCCACCCCCAAAAATGTCTCTGGTATATAGTTGTTCATTATTATTATTATTTTCCCCCTGGTCCTTTATGCTCCTGTTATGAGTGAAACCATATTTTTCTTTTTCTTTCTGGCTTATTTCACTAAGTATGATCCCTTACGGCTCCATCCATGTTGATGCAAAAGACATGACTATTTTTTTTTGACTGCTGCACCCCTCAGCCATTGTTAACATAAATTCATCATGGAGATGTCATTTTCCTTAAAGCCCCAATAAGGGAATTCTGAATCACAGCAAGTGGATTCTCTAAAGAGAATCCTCCTCTACAAACTTCAGTCTCACTGCAGCTGTGGCTTTTCAAATTGGGTGATCTGCCTCTTACATAAGTGTGTCTCATCACCCTTGTCTCCTGACTCCAAACCCCCTTTTCCTCCACCCCACCCACCCCAAGTGGCATTTGGTATATTGAGGGCACTTGTAGGCCCCCAACTACAGGAACAACACCCACAACTAGTGGCTCCACCTACTTGACCTGGTCAGCCCCATCACTACCATCAGCCTCATCAGTTTGGTGTAGTCACTATGGGTGGGAAGGAGGATCTGGCAGGAAGGAAGTCTGGCAGTCAGGAAGGGGAGAGAAACTTGTGGAGGACCAGCCATGGGATTAGGACAAAACTAAGGTGTTGCTACCACCTGATCAAGCATGATAAGGGCAACAACTATAAGGATGACACTTTTCCATACATTTCTGTCATATTAAAAATCCTAACATTAAAAATTGTGTAAAAAGGGCCCTCCCTGGTGGCACAACGGGTTAAAGCACAGCACTGTGAAGCTACCGTAGCCACTGCAGCACAAGTTTGATTCCCAGCCAGGGAGGTGACCCAAATTGTGTGGCAGACCTCTCCTGCCCCACTCACTGCTCCCCTCAGCAGTGTATTTCAATCTATCTGTTCTGCTCCCTACTCTGTCTCTGGTGAATCCTCTCATCCCCTGCACTGCTAGCCTGTATCTCAGTTCTGTATGGGTAAATAAGTATTTTTTTAAATAAAATAAAAATAGTGTAAAGAAGCAAAGCATATAGTCAGCAAAAACTCACTACATTATAGAGAGGGGATCTTTGTTGTTGTTATTATTTTAATTGTCAACTTCCGAAAAACAGTGTCTCATCCCTTCCCACCTTATCCAGATGATTTGGGTAGAGAGTACTAATTATTGTAGCTCTCTACTTTGGTCAAGGGTCATGTCAAGATAGATCAAGGGGAGTTTTCTTTCTTGGATTTTCCAAATAGGAGCAGGAAGGAAAAATTCTTTTTTAGTTACTGAGCATTTAAATTGCACTATAGGGAAAAAAATCCATAACTGAAAGGATAAAGCCCAAGTGCAGAGGGAAGTAAGGACAAGAATTGGGGAGGCAAAGAATGTGAGAGAGTCCTAATGGTATTAAGTCCCTGGATCTAGACATCCCAGATACCAGCTTTCCTCCTACCCTTCATTTTGGTCACAGGAGTCAATCAATTTCTTTGTCAAAGGCAGTTTGATATGGATTCCTGTTATTCACAACAAAGGGCCTTGAGTTGGGGAATCATAGGAGATATGGGAATTGTGGAAAATACAAAAAATGTGGAAATTAGCCCAGTTGCTAACTAAATGTGGTCTTACAACATTAGCAAGATAATAACATCTAGAAACTATTATTCTAAAGAGGTCTAATATTCCACAGCCTTTCCCACCTGTTCTGGATCAGGCTCAATGAAGTATGTGGTAATGCCATGGATACAGAATGTGACGTTATAGAGCCAGCCAATGCCAGTGATCACCACATGTAGTATGTGCTCCCGACTATGGACATAGTGATAGGCTGTACTAAAGACATTGGCAACACCCTGTAGAGAAAGGAAATTTTAACTGCCTTTTCTTTTAAAAATAGATATTAATATATCAATTGGATTACCTTTTTAATTACTAATAATACAATCTAAAAATATTTATCAGTTAGTAAAAGTCAGTATTATAGATTCTACCATAAAAAAGATCAAGAAATCAAAGTGATAAGGTGAAATCTATATAGCTTATTATATTTCTTGATAATTGTTCAGTAAAATTTGTAATATGTGCTATCAAAAGAACAGGATATACTGAAAGGACGTACAAATTCAAGAACTAAAGGCAGCCATGGGCAGGTAGGAGTTGTGTTGACCTGATGTAATATTAATGTTTATCTTTACCTAGCTACTGTCAAGAGATCAGCAGTAAGGGATCTGCTGGGCCTGCAACATGTTAGCTTATACAATCTTTCTTAGGCATAAAGCTAGCCTGTTCCACAGAAAAGGAATAGAAGTTCTTAGACTCCATCTGTGGTCTTATGGTGCAAATGTTTCAAATATATATGTATTTTATATTAGGACCCAACTTATCTAAGAGTAACCCAGGAGCTTTTATCTCCACAGATTAGAGAATCCACTATAATTCATTCTGACATATTCTCTAACAAGACTATCTACAGTTCACCTACTGATAACTCTATATTTCTCCATTTTGCTTCTTAATATTTTTATATTATTTTGTGTCAGAGGAGAATAAATCTTATTAAAAAGATGTCCAGCGAAAAGATTCTGTCACTTTCTTCAGTTAAGCATTCAGTAAATGGGAAGAGAAAAATTTATAAATATTGGTAAATATATATAAAGAGCCAGAGGCTTGCAGGGGAACAAATAATAAGAGCATAGCAAGTTTCTGATGTCGCTACATTCTAGTCCACTATCTCCATATAAAGGCTTTTAATCTTCCTTCATTGCAATTTCTGTTCATAAAATTAAATTGTACGTTGTTATTAATTAAATGAAATGATCCAGTTATGTTATAGGCCTAAAAGTGCCTATCCTTTTTGTGATTTAATTTGAAATACCTCAGAGACATTTAGATTTTTTCTTCCATTCTTCACCCTCAAAAATTATAACACTGACATCAAAAGCTATGGGGATGCATATCTTTGTGTAAAGATCAAAGGATTTCTAGGTACTGCCATTAATAAAACATAAATATGTTCCTTCTGAAAGCTCATCCCTACTTGTTGGATCTTAGTAGTCTAATAGTTATATTTTTGTTCTGAAATGTAAAATACTGTTCATATGATTAATGCAACAGGACACATATTAACAACTTTCTCAGAGATGCTGAGGCATGGATGTACAACTGAAGCTAACAGTTCTTCCACATGTAATGAGGAAACTCTCCAAAGACTAATAAATATACACAGGCAATAGTAACAAATATGATGTTATTGATTGTGCTTTATAAAGATATATAGAAGAGACCATTCTATTACTGCTCTTCAAGAGTTCTTTTATGATTTACCTGGTAGAATCTAATCTCATGAGGTAGAAAGATATTTATTTTCCGTGGATCTCTAAGAGTGTCCACAGCTAAGACCCCAAAGATCCTCATATATGCATCCTGAAGAGGAAGAGCCAGTAATGATCCATTATAATCATCCTTCTTGCGGGAATGGTTCCAGAAAAAGATGTTCCCATGGTGCTGAACCTGGGGAACATGTACTGGTTTCCCTTCATCCACTACTGTAAAGCTGAGGAATAGAAATAGGATGAGAAAAAGGCACAGAAAAGGACTTTAGATTAAACCATGCATGATACTAGATCAATTCTCCAGTCATCATCATTGGCATTACATGTCAGAGAAGTAGACTAAGATACAATTTCCAGTTTGGAGAGTCTAACTTAAGAAAAAGACTTTAGAAATAAGCTTAACAGAATGCAGAAGACACCACTTATATAATAGGCAGAAATAATTAAACTGATGTTGTGAAGCAGAGTCCCTACATGGTGAATCAATGCCTAAAGGTGAGCTCTTAAAAATAATCAGGTGAAGTCATATAAGATTGGAAACACACCTCTCTAGAAGTGACCTGAGGCATTTCTATTGGGAAGCTAATCAGGGTTTCAATATTAATTTACACCAGAAGGGAAATTATTTTTTAAGAAGGGTGAAAACTGTCTCCTCAAGAAATTCTTACCTGATTCCCTTCATGTCCCTGTAGAGCACTCTGTTTAGTACAAATGGAGCATCATCTAAAGTACAAGCTACATTTCTCAATAGAACATTTCCTCTATCAGGCAATAGTTGGTTTTCTTCCAGGAGGGCAATGTGAGCACTGATCTTCTTATTTCCATGGGCTTCAGCATCCTATGGTAAAATGTTTCTTACAAGTATTTACCAATAGTCAAAGAGCTACTGAGTCATGCCTCTCTTTATTAATCAATTTGTGTATCCAACTCCAATAATTTTATTTTCCTGAACCAATAATATACATATTATCATTTATGGACAGTAAGGAGATTTACCTTTTATTTATCCCCCATACATGAGTTTCAGTGAATGGAATGGATTTACTTTATGCCAACTAGATTAGTTTACTTAAAAGAAAGAAAGAGAGAGAGAGAGAAAGGAAGAATGTCAAGTCCACTCAATTTATATCTTAAAATTGGATCTCTTTGAACTATATTCATATTGTCTGGGCTTGAGTTAAGCACATTTCTTTTAGAGAGCCAGGACAAGAAGATAAATTCATGCCACTCATATTTGTAGACCATCTACTATGATGTGAATGTAGGGAGGGCGGGGCGGGGAATGTCCTGAGAGAATTCCTATGAATTTCCTATGACATCTGATTCATGTCAGTTTTTTTTGATCCCAGAATACAACTACTATATCTAATTAAAACAACTAAAAATTCACTATACCTGAAATAGAATAAGGTTATTAACAATATTGTTAAGAATATGTCAAAATGCCCATAAATTAGATATGAAACACAACATTTGTCTCCTTTTTTAATTCTGAGTAATATTTTTCATGACTTTTCCTTTCCAGCTACCTCTCTTCTTTCTTTTCTACATAACATATCTACAGATGTCAAAAATGTAGGAAGATTTCTTTTAGGGAACCATAGATTTCTGAAGTAAAGTGGAATAATCTTTTTAATTGATGGGTCCCCTGTTTCTGGTCATATAATTTCCAACTTTGGAAAATTCAGTCATTCAGGACACTCCAATAATCAAGTATAGCTATTTATCTGAGATGAATGATACAAAAGTCCCAAATCAATGAAATCTGTGATATATGTAGAAGACAGCCATGTTGTTTCTACCTGCGAGATATAGTAAGCTGGGAGTGACTAAAGGAATGACAAAGCTGTGGGCAGTGGTCCATCAGGATCATGTGCTTTAAATGACAGGATTTTTTAAGTCTGTTCTAGGCAATGTTGTGAAATACTGTGCGACAGTTGATTTTACTTTATAATGATTCTATGATTTAAATAGTTTATCATTTTAAACTGACTCCAAAACAAATCATACAAGGGAAAAAAGAGCTTAGACTGCTATTACATCCTTACTGGTATTTTTCAAAGCAGTCTACTTTCTGTAATAGGCTTGTCTTTCAGCATAAATGAAATTATTTCTGTCATTTATATCTAACCTCTCCATTTCTACCTTGCCAATATTAATCACCCTGTATCATCTCGATAGGCTTTTACATAGGCTTTATAATTTATTGGAATAAATTAAACATCTATAGCAATTACCAGTGATTTTTCAGGAGAATTTAGTGTGCTCCTTTTTTTTTTTTAAATCATTGATCACCATCTGCTATGAGGAAATTTTCCCTCTTATATATCATTTTAGAAAACATACCTGGGTGAGGGCCTTAAAGGTCTCATTGTACACTGGTTCCAGGGACACCCCACTTGTCTCAGCAGCATGTTGGATTTGATATAACCACTTTCGTCTGGCACAGTTTCTTAGATGCTCAATATGGGTTCTTTCTAAACTGTACATAAGAAATTCTACAATGTTTTCCAGAACAATGTCTTCATTGCCCCTGAGTTCAGATACAACCAATTCTATGTATTTCTGAAACTGCCTTGCAGATAGTTTTACTTCTTGACCAGGAAGTGGCTTTGGAAATTGGATATGTAGTTTAGCTAAAAGACAAACACAAAATCAATAACTAACCATAAGTTCATTCATCTGTAAAGGAAATTTTCATTCTCCTCTTATTATCCTTATAAAAAACCTTAAACTCCAAAAGTATCTCTCTCAACAGAACCTCTTACACTGACTTCCTATGATGAACTTAAAATGACTTCTATGTTCTATGCCATTTTGTCTGTTTTTGTTTTGTTTTCTTGATTCCACCACTCAGCCATATGAAATCCTGGTGGCAGCCTTGTCTCTTCTCTACCTTTTACTTTCTGTATCCAATAGACCAGCTAATCCTATCATGTTATATATAGTCTTTAGCATTGTATCTGGCAGTCACTCCTCTCTATTTCTACTTCCTAATCTTAAACTAATATTAATCACTTTAAAGTTAGATCAACAATAATGAGGTTCAATACATATTTATATTAAACTAAAACACAATTTGCTTTATGCAATTCCTTGATTTTTTCTTACCTTTTTAAAATAGAGTCAATAATAGTAATATCTGCCCATAATACCATGTAGGAATTATTTGCTCCAGTATACCTGTTCTACTCAAGGTCCCTGACCATGCCTTTCACACTTCTGAATTTTTTATTTTTAAAATATATAATAATTAACCTACTATGAACTTGAACATTACCATTAACTACATCTTATTCTTACTACTCTTCCTTTCTAGGAAAGATCTAGAAGAGATAAAACTAGTCTATGGTGGAAAACAACCAAAAGAATTGTTGTATTGGGGATTGGGTGGTGGGTATTAAATAGGAAAGGGGTATGAGAAATATTTTTGGTTCTATTTCTTGACTAGGACATAAGGTACACCTTATAAGAGAAATAGAAGGATGGAGAAATGAGTAGATAATTTAAAAGTAGTGAATTGTTAATGGTAGAGTCTAGGCAGTTGGTATAGAAGTATTTACTGTAAATTTTTTTCAGGTTTGCTGCAGTGCTTGAAATTTTTCATAATATTATATTGGAGGGGGAGGGAGAACAGAGGAGCTGGACTGAAAGAACTCTCATTGGCCAAATCTGGGACAATATGAGTATTCAAATAAATAGCATTAGTGATGGATTAAAAACCATTGAATAAGTAGGAAACCAAAAGTACAGATTGTTGTAAATGGAAAAAAAGTTTGACAATAAAGGGAATTTCTTTCCTTAAATTTTATTGAGATATTAATTTTGAGACTAATTTTATTGAGACATTAAAAATTTAAAAAATTCAGTAATCCTACCAGCCAAATGATAATGTGCTTAAATCTTTGGTGTATTTTTATCCTGAAATTTTTTCTATGTATCTATCTACTTACACACACAATGCTAAACGAGACATAATATAAATATATGTGTATTTATGTTCACATAATACATAATTTTTGTAATATTTATATGCATATAATTTTACTCATCATAAAATTGCTCTATTTCTATTACTCAGAGTCACTTATATAATGGTGCATATCCTTCCCCTATGTATATTTTTAATAGTACAAATCATTTGGCACATTGCTTTATGTTTTTTTCTCTTAACACATTACTATGAACATTTGCCCACATTGTCTAACATAAAAATAACTCTTAATTTGTTCATATTACTACATTCTATTGATAAGTCAATTTTTGATCAGCTGTCTAATTTTTTTAGTATTCCTTATTTTACATCCTTGTAAATTTTTTCACAATATGAAGAAAGGGGGTGCTTATGTGGTTTCAAGGTACACCTACCTGGTACTTACGTATTACAAGGGGAAAAATAATATCTTCAAAGTGGAAGGACCTGATACATATTAGCTTAATATCATGAAACTGACAGAATTCAATGAGAACATTCCTGCCAAAGGTTAATAACTTGAATTTAATCATGAGAAACGAGACAAACCTAAAAGAAGTGTACACCAAAAACAGCATGTCTATAAACTTCATTAAAATCAATGAAAGACTGAAGAGATTCCTCATTTCCAAGTGAAGAAATAGCTATAATTTTATAATACTTGCCCAATTTTCAGTTTCTTTAGAAAACTAGAATGAGTGTTTTTCAATATATGCTTCTTACTGTTCAATATTTCTGGAATTTATTGACAGAATATGTCAACAAATGTTGAAATTTTAAAAGAGCTAAATGTCCCACTAAAGTAAAAATGTATACATTAAAGCAAATCTTGTTGTTTAATAGAAAATTAAAAGGCATAACCAACAAATGTTAATGAGCTATTCCATGAGAAGTAATGGGGAGAGGGAAGAATGATTTATCCCATTTGATTCTACACTATAGGTAAAGTCACATAGTCTACAGTTTTCTGTAAGTGATATTTCTACTCAATAGATTAGGCTGTATAAGATACAAATGAAAAGGGAAAAAAACAGATTAAAAGTTTCAAGTTGCCCCTTCTAGCCAGAAAACTTGCACTTCACTTACCATAGCAGAAACATTACTTGAAATCTCTAATTCTATGACTTTATTCTAGTTCACCCCAATTTCAATTTTTTAATTTTTTATAATTTTTTTGATTGAAGCAACAAGATAAAGTCATTTAAAAAAATCTGGGATGCAGAAATAAATTAGAAAGGTAGGAGAAAACAAACAAAAAAAAATAAACAGAACTGTTTGACAATTTGCCAACTAGCTAATGTATAAATTTAACGTGTTTTTCCTTTTTAGGAAGCTAATTCTGCCTTTTCCCCTCAATTCAGCAATTAGCCAGGTGGCTAGCAATATGTGTTCAGAATCACTTTTTATAAACCTAGCCTGGGAGAGAATAATTTGTTCTTCCTGCTTGCAGACATATTCATCTGGCAGCAGATCCTGCTTCCTCATTCTTATTTGCTGGATTTAACCTATTATTTTTTATACTTTTACCTATCTCTATTGTACCTCAATTGCATATATTGGAACTTCCTTAAAATATCATCCTTGGGTTCCTTAAATTCTAGAATTCACCATATCTAACTCCTTCACTTTAGAAATGAGGCCATCTGGATCTATAGAGGGTCAGTAACTTTCTCGTAAACGTGTGATCATTTAGTGAAAGACACAGCGTGGAAATCATTTCCGCTGGTGTCCTGTGCTATAAGTGGAAACTACCTAATTATACTTTCTAAAACTTCATTAAGTCTTTTGATGCAGTCTAAGACAAGTAACATAGTAGTATATATGTAAAGTTTGCAGAAAATATAGTTAAGGAAGAAACTATGATGATAAAGAAACAAGGTATATTTGAAGATCAATGACTACAACCAGTTTCTAAAGGGTTAAAGCACTTAACTAATCTTGAAGTTTGTTTTGTGTGTGTGTGTGTTTTGTTTGTTCGTTTTACCTCATGCATTATGTAGTTCAACAAATAGATATGTAGTTCAACAAATAGAATTCTTATATTCCAAAGCCACCCAATAAATCCTAAAACCCAGTGAAGAGCAAAATAATTTATACTGGGATTTATTTTTTAAAAGATTTATTTATTTATGCATACAGACTTGGGTACAGGCCAGAGGTGCCGGGTGGTGAGGAGATTCACCAGAGACAAAGTGGGGAGCAGACAAGCAGACTGACAAAGTACACTGCAGCAGGCAAAATAGGAGAGGTCTGCTGTGCCATATGGATCACCTCCAGGGCTGGGTCTTGAACTCACATTGAAGTTAGCTGTGGCTAGCTTGTAGTGCTGTGCCCTAACTCACTGCACCACTAGGGAGTGCCCTATACTGGGATTTGATTGAATAAAGGAGGGATCTTATTACATTGGAGTAGTAGTTTTTGAAAGGAAGTATTGATCACAAGAGAAAATACATAGTATAGGAGAAGAAAGAGTCTTCAAGGAGATAAGTTAGTAAATTCAGAAGAAACTTGCAAGCCAATCAGACTTGGGTGGTGAGTCAGACAGAATAAAAGAATAAATTTTTTTAAAAGAAGAAAAAATTAGCAGATTTTTGGAATGGTTTAAATTCTCTTAACCTCAAAAGTGAAGGTAGCCAGGTACACAGTAGACTGTATGTAGAAGTAAGGTCTTGAGCAAAGCACTCTGCAACATATTCTACTGCTCCTTGCTCTGATATCACCCCCACAATGGACAAGGATTCCAGTTTTCCTACATGTTTACCAGCATTTGTTACTTTGAATTTTTAAAATTATGATTACAGGGAGGGTGACATTCAGTTTGACATTCAGAATGACAGGCTTTCTCTTCTACAACCATGTCCTAATTTGTCTATAATCTCACTGAGAATCTCTGTTGAATGATGGTGACACTAAGTTGTGGATGTGGTTCTGTGATGAAAAAATCATAGTCATGTGTAACATCATTGGTTATAATGTTTGAAGATTGATCTTTAACATGTGATTATATTTGGTTTATTATTTTAAAATAAACAAATTATAGACTACATAAGTGACAAAAGCAAAAATAAATAAATGGGACTACATTAAGCTGAAAAGCTGCACCACAAAAGAATTAACAAAATGAGTAGGGTAAAAATATCTGCAAATCTACCTGATAAGGGGTTAATATCCAAAACATACAAGGCACTTATACAGCAACTGCAAAAAACAATTCAGTTTTTGAAAAAGTGGTGGAAGAACTAAATAGATGTTTTGCCAAAGAAGAAATATAAATGAAAAGGTACATGAAAAGATGCTCAACTTCATTAATCATCAGGGAAAAGTAAATCAAAACCACAGTGAGATAATACTTCACACCTGTAAGAATGTCTGTTATCGGGTCCTCCTTGGTGGCACATCGGGTTAAAGCACAGCACTAAGAAGCTAAAGCCACTTCAGTGTGAGTTTGATACCCTGCCAGTGAGGTGACCTACAAGGCACAGCAGACCTCTCCTGACCCACCCACTACTCCCTGCAGTAGTGTACTTCATAGAACTACCTGTTCTACTCCCACTCTGTCTGGTGAATCCTCTCACTGCCCCTACACCTCTGGCCTGTACCCCAGTTCTGTATGCATGAATAAATAAACCAAAAAAAAAAAAGAATGTCATCAAAAAACAAGTGATAACAAGGGAAAGAGGAACCCTTATGTACTATTGATAGAAATGCAGAGTGGTGTAACCACCATAGAAAACAATATGGAGGTTCCTCAAAACATTAAAAATTAAACTACTGTATGTTATGGTAATTCTACTTTTGGGTATATATCCAAAGGAAATGAGATGTCTGTGTCTCTGTTCACTGAAAAATTATTCACAATTGCAAGATGCAGAAACAACCTAAGTGTTCATTGATAGGTGAACAAAGGAAATGTGGAATATAATGAGAAAAAAAGAATCCAGCTATTTGCAATAACATGGAAGGGTTGTGAAGCCATTCTGCTAAGTGAAATAAGTCAAAGACAACAACAAACACTATATGGTATCATTTATATGTGGAAAATAAAAAAGCCAAACTCATAGAGAGTATAGAGGATGGTGGTTGCCAGGGGCTAGAAGTGGGAAGATATTAAGTCAAAGGATAACACTTCACTTATAAGTTAAATACATTCTGTATCTATGTACATCATGGTCACTATAGTTCACAGTACTGAATTACATACTTGAAAATTGCTCCAAGAGTAGATCTTACATGTTGTCACTACTGAAAGAAATAATTACATAAGGTGATAAGAGGTCTGAGCTAATATTATTATAATGAACATTTCACAATATATGTATATACAATGAACATATCATACACCTTAAACTTATACAATAATATATATTAATTATATCTTAATAAAGTTGAAACAAAATACAGGCATAACAGTAGGTGTAGAGCATTATCTCCTGGTTTTAGAACAAAACCAGGGTTTTAGCTGTATTCATGTCATAGTATGGGGAAAGTTGAAGCCAAGCATACCACAATTTAAGTGAAAAAACATATTTTTATCGTGAAAAAACTATTATATTTATACCTTTTTTCATAGATTCTTTTTCCATTCCCTCTTTATATGTATATAAGAGTTCATCAACTTCCTTCAGATTCAGAAAGCCTGAGCCATCAGTGTCCCACTTCTGAAAGAGGGATTCTAGGAGAAGTTCCCGTCGGACTCGGGAAGTCTTTTGTCTAGCCTACAATGCAAACAAGGTGACAAAGTACAGAAGACACACGTCATTGTGATAGCCAGCACCCTATATTTATTCCTCCAATAGTGCAATACTTTTTATGAAAACAATTTTATTTTGGGATTAAGCATGACATTAATGGGAAAATGAAATGTTTGATCCTTTAAATAGCACTCTTCTGTTTCACCTCTAAATCAGAAAACCGGCATTTTCTGCACTGGATTAAGACAATTAGAAAAGAAATACACTCCTCAAGAATCTATCTTGAATTCTTCAAGAATTCATTCCTTTCTCCTCCCTTGCTGGTTGTTCAGGAAAGTGATGCCCCCGTTGGTTGTTCTGCTGGGTTTCTTGGTGGGACATATTTTGTAATAGAGGGAGATGAATAGTGTTCAAACAATAAAAAATGTTTAAAAATTCTTTGTAATATTAGTATTGACCTAATGACCATTGGTTTTATTTACCTTTTAGATTTCTCACTAGTTTATTCTATCATTAGTAACCTCATGGCATGGGTTAAATCCATTTAAAGCATGCAGGTTTCAGGATACCCAAGATGCCCCTTGTTCTGCTTTGTAACAAAACTACAATTGAAGAGGCAACACTAGATTTAGATTATGAGGAGACACATAAAAGTTGATGAGATTACTGAATTTTTCTAGTGAATCTAATTTATATATTTCATATTGGGACATATAAATTGCTTAAATCAAATATGTGTGCATTTATCTATCACCCAAGTAGTGTAAATTCTCAGGAAGAATGTACTAATTCATACTGAGTGCACATCAGTGTAGATATATGAGTGTGTGTGTGTGTGTGTGTGTGTATCCAAGCCATAGTCATACCCCTGGGTATGTGCATTTCTCATGCACTCATATTGCAGACAATGCACACACTCAAACACACACTCACATCTTTCCACATACAAATATATGCTCCTCAGAATATGCTCTTCAAGCTACATTGAAGGAAAACAAAACTATACAATAAATCATCTACCACTATCAGTCACTTTACTGTTAGGCAAACAAATTCTCTGTACTATGAACTTAAAACATTTGACAATAAAGTGACAAACATTTGAAACAAAGTGATATTTTGTAAATTTTAAAAAAAGAGTCATATTGTGTATATATGCCCCATCTTCTTGATGTTACCTCAGTTAAAAATAATTTTTTAAAAGGAAATCATTAGGAGCAACTGAGGTTGAAAGAGTTACAATAGTAACTCATCTGTTTCATTGATAAATAATACTCACCTGTTCTAAGTGACTCATTCTCTCTTCTTTTGTTTCAACATAGCACCTCTTAAAAAAGGATGTGAGAGTCTCACTGACACTCAGGGGGGCATCTTCACCAACAAATGTCTCCAGGAGTTGCACAAATTGAAGCAGATTGAAAGAGACTCCATTGAAGGCACTCCTACCTCTTACTTCTTTGTAAGACTGAATATTTCTGATAAATGAGTGTAAATCTGTCAAGCAGGAAACACACACCAAACAGTAATGTGAACAATTTTCTCAAAACCTAAGGAAATTTTACTTTAATGCAATGGGCATCTACTTGTTTTTTCTTGTTGTGAATACATGAAATCATCATGAGGATAACACCCTCCTTCTTTATTTGTTTGGTAATACACCTCTCCCCCACTCTCAATTTAAATGAATCAGATGGTATTGAAAACCCTTCCCTCTAGCACTAAGGACACCCGCATGATAGAGGTTTGGCCAGTGATTCATATATGTCAGCATTATAGCCCATTATAAGTCAATGAGAATTATCCCACATTTTGGAGAGCTATTGGGAAAGAGTCACTCTTCTGTACTCTGATTGCTGAACTACTAGGACAGAGATTTAGAGATACTCTCAAGGACATCTTTACATAGGAAAGAGAAAACTACCTAAAACTGAACATGATACAGAGAAGAGGGTTGGAAAGCAGAGACAGTGTCCTGTTACGACTGCTCTTGGTTTCAGTTGTGCCTAAGCCAATAGCTATGCAAACTTGCTTAAATAAGCATATAAATAATAAATAACATCACTACAACCTCTCCCCCATAGTCTTGACTAATTTATTTGACATTTCATGTTATGTGAAGCATGTTTCATAAAATGTTAGCCCAGTGATCTGTTTGATTTATTGATTGATTCAATGTGTGTCCAGTGTTTTCCACATGAGATTTGACATGACTTAACAAAGATCACCCACACAATTAAAAAATAACATGTATGTAACTATGTGTATACATATGTGTATGTATATATTGTAGAATTTTTACAGATCTGTTGTAAGTTACAGGATGATATTTAAAGGACATCAATTAAAGGAAAGGATAATTTTAGAGATTTTCCCATCACCACTTTGTGTCCCCTTGTCTCTTTCCCTCCCTCCCTCTTTATCTCAGAGCCCTCAGGACATTTGTTGTCCTATAGTTTATGAAAGTATTTTACATTTTCGAGTTGTCTGTCATGAGAATATCCAATATTTGCTTTTATAGTTTTAACTTGTTTTGCTCCATGTAATGTTCCCAAATTCTCTCCATTTTGTTGAAAATGACTGCATTTCATCCTTTCTTGTGTCTGTGTAATACTCTACAGTGTGTGTCTGTACCACATCTTTTTGATCCATTTACCACTGAAGGAGATTTAGGCTGCTTTTATGTCTAGCTCTTCTTGATGGTTTCTTATTCTGTAAATATATACTCAAGAGATGGATTGCCAGGTTGTGTGGTAATTCCAATTTTTAAAGGTAAATCCAGATTGCTTTCAAGAATAGTTTAACCATTTTTCATTCCTACCAACAGTGTAATAGGGTTCCTTTTGCTCCTCATCCTCTTGTTATTAGGGATCTTTTTGATATGTGCCATTTTCACAGGGGTGAAGTGGATCTCATTATAGTTTAAATCTACACCTCTGTTATTAGAAGGGAAGATGAACAGTTACATGTTGTATAAGCATTTTTTTTCCAATTCAGTAGGGTGTCTATTTAATTGTCTTTTGCTGCATAGAATTTTTTAAACTTGAGGTAATCTCAATCATTTATTTTTGTTTTTAAATTCTTTGCTATATGGGTTGAGTTAAACTACTTGGAGTTCATTTTTGTTTGTCGTTTAGTGAGTAGTTCAACTTCATTCTTTCATGTGTGTCTTTCCAATTTTCCCAATAAATAGCCTGTTGTAGTAATGAGATTGTATTATCCCCATTTTATGGTCATAGATGTTTTATCATAATTAGATGCTAGTATACACACCTATTTCTCGCGTTTGGATTGCATTTCATTGGTCCATTTATCTATTTTTTGTGCCAGTACCACACTGTTTTTAATACTATTGAGTTATAATAAAGTTTAAAATTAGGAAATGTGACATCTCTGTTTCTCTCTCTCTCTTTTTAGGTACCTTTTGCAATTCAGAGCTTTTTGTGTTTCCATATAAATTTCAATTCTTTTTGTTAGTTTCTTTTAATACTATTGCTGAAATTAAGATGGTTACATTAAATCATATGTCAGTTTAGGTAAGATAATCATTTTGGTTATATTGATTTCCATCATCTATGCGCACAGAAGATCCTTTCATTTCCTTATGTCATTAAGTCCTCTAATCTTGTACCTTTCATTTTAAGTCTTTTATCTCCTTTTTAGGTTGATTGAGATATTTAATTCTTTTTAAAGTAATTACAAATTATTTTCTCAATTTCTTTTGGTTCTTATTTGTTCATATTTTAAAAAGCTATTAATTTTTCTTTTTAATAATTTGTATATATTTTTACATCGTTCTTCATTTTTATACAATGTACATTTTAGCATCTTGCAGCGTCCCTACCACCAATTCACCCATGCACCATAATCCCTTGGGCTCTTCCCACTGTTTTGACCCAATTTCTTCCCCTCCCCCAAGAATGTCTTTAATTTGTAGATGTCTGTTGATTTTGATTTTTACTTTGTTATGATTACTTCTCCCCCTGCTGATCCCTTATTTGGGTCCCCTACATTCCTCCTATAAGAGAAACCCATCATATATATATATTTTTCTTTCTGGCTAATTTCACTAAGCACGATCCCTTCCAGTCCCATCCATATTGCTGCAAATGGAATGAGTTTATCTTTTTGATTGTTGAGTAATATTCCATTGTGAATATATACCACATCTTCTTGATCCAGTTATCTATTTTTGGGCATTTAGTTTTTTCCATAACTTACCTATTGTAAATAGTGCTGCAATAAACATAGGAGAAAGGTGCTCTTTTTAATTAATATTTTTGTGTCCTTTGGGTAAATATCCAGGTGTGGATCATATGGGAGGTCTATTTTTAGCAAGTTGAGGAGCCTCCACACAGCTTTCCATAGTGGTTGGACCACTTTGCATTCCCACCAGCAATGTAGGAGGGTTCCTTTTTCTCCACATCCTTGCCAACATTTGTTGTTGCTTGTTTTTTTTTTAGTATGTGTCACTTTCACTGGTGTAAGATTGTTTCTTATGGTGGTTTTGACTTGCACTTCTCAGATTACCAGTGTTATTAAACATTTGTCATATGCCTGTTGGCCATTTGCATTTCCTCTTTGGAGAAGTGTCTTTTAAACTTTCTGTCCATTTTTTGACTAAGTTGTTTGAAAAAGCTATAAATTTTTGTATGTTGATTTTGTAACCTGCCACTTTGCTCCATTTATTTTGTTCTTTCTAGTAACTTTCTGATGGAATCTTTAGGATCTTGATAGTATATTATCTGCAAATAGTGGTAGTTTCACTCCTCCCTCCCGTCCCCTCCATTTGTCTAAGTTAAATAAAAGTGGAGCCTTTGGGCATCTTTATCTTGTGTATCTTGTGTTAGATCTTGTGGGAAAAGCTTTCAGTTTTTTGCCATTGAGTACTATAATGGTTAGTTTGTGATATATGGCCTTTATTATAATGAGGTAGTTTCCTTCTATTCCCATCTTGTTTAGAGTTTTTGTAAGTGGGTGTTGAATCTTACCAAATGCTTTCTTTGTATCTACTGATAGTATATAGTGTTTTTACTTTTGTTGATATGGGTATTCCATTAATTGATTTATAAATATTAAATCACCCTTGTATCCCTGGAATGAATCCCATTTGACCATGATGTATAATTCTTGTAATATTTGTGAATTTGATTCGCTAGTATTTTTTTTAAAGTTCTGTGTTATGTTCATCAAGGATATCAGCCTTCATTTTCTTCTGCTGTCTTTTTCTGGGTTGGATTTAAAAAAAAATGTTTGTATCATAAAATGTGTTAGGGAGGAATTTTTAAAAACAACTTTTAAAAACAACTTGTGCAAAGTGGGCACTAGTTCTTTAAAAGTTTAACAAAATAGGCCCTCCCTGGTGGTGCAGCAGGTTAAAGCACAGCATAAGAAGCTAAAGCCACTTCAGCATGAGTTTGATCCCCACTCCAGAGGTGATTCACATGGCGAGGCAGACCTCTCCTGACCCGCCCACTGCTCCACTCAGCAGTGTATTTCATCAGTTGGCCTGTTCTGCTCCCCACTCTGTCTCTGGTGAATTCTTGCATTGCCCCTGCACCTCTGGCCTATACCCCAGTTCTGTATACATAAATAAATAAATCTTTTTTTACAAGTGTGATAAAATATGTTTTTGGTAAAGTTTACTTTTTTATTTTCTTTTTCTTTTTTTTTTTAAGATTTATTTATTTGTACATACAGAACTAGGGTACAGGCCAGAGGCTCAGGGGTGGTGAGAGGCTTCACCAGAGACAGAGTGGGAAGCAGAACAGGCAGATCAACGAAGTACACTGCTGAGGGGAGCAGCGGGCGGGTCAGGAGAGGGCTGCCACGCCATGTGGTCACCTCCGGGGCAGGCGGGAATCGAACTCATGCAGAAGTGGCTTTAGCTTCTCAGTGCAGTGCTTTAACCCACTGTGCCACCAGGGAGGGCCAAGGTTTATTTTTTTTAATTGTTCTTTCAATAGCCATGTTTGTGCTCTGTCTGTTCAGCTTATCTTTTTCTTCCTGGATAATGTTGATCTAGGAATTTACCCATTTCTTAAAGGGTACTGAATTTGTTGGCATATAGTTAATCAAAGTAATCTCGCAATCTTTCGTATCTCTGTATAAATATCTGTAGCGATTTCTCTTTTCATTTGTGATTCTGTTTATTAATTTTTTTGCCTCTTTTTTTGATTGCTAAGGATCTATCTATTTTACTTACCTCTTCAAAAAACCAGTTACTAGTTTCACTAATTTTTTTTATGTAATAGTTTATTTTTACATCATTTTGTGCATTTTTTCATCTCAGTTGTAATCCCCGTGGGCTTCCTATCACCAAATCACCCATGTGCCATCACCATAGTCCAGTGCATTTCCCTCCCTCGACTGTTTTTGATCCTATTCCCCACTCCACCCCCATAAAATGTCTCTGGTATATAGCTGTTCATTATTATTATTTTCTCGCCTGGTCCGTTATACTCCTTCTATAAGTGAAACCATTGGCATTTTTCCTTTTCTTTCTGGTTTATTTCACTAAGCATGATCTTCTCCAGCTCCATCCATCTTGCTGCAAAAACATGTGTTTCTTTTTTTTGGTTGCTGAGTAATATTCCATGTGTATATGTACCACATCTTTTTAATCCAGTCATCCACTTTTGGGCATTTGGGCTGTTTCCATGTCTTTCCAATGTAAACAAAGCAGCAATAAACATGGGGGTACTGGTATCTTTTTGAATCAATGTTTTTGTTAGTTCCACTAATTTTTTTTTTGCAAAATCTTTTTGCTCTCGCATTTATTTCCAATCTTATTTTTATTATTTATTATTTATTTCCTTCTATTAACTCTAGGTCTTTTTTATTCCTCCTTTTCAATTTGCTTTGGATGTAACATTAGGTTGTTGGTGTGGATTTTTCTTGCCTTTTATCTGCAGTTATCATCCCCTTTAAAACTGTTTGTACTGCATCCCATAGATTCTGGCAACTTCTATAAAAATTTTTGTTCATCATAAGGTGTTTTTAAATTTCTGCTATTAAATAGCATATTGTTTAATCTCCATGTATACATAATTTTTCACATTTTTTTTTCTTTTTCAAAAAAATTTATTGAAGAAGCATTTGTTAAAACATTGTATATACAATCTAGAGGTATAGGATCATGCACTTCAGACATTGTTTCTACACTACACTTATCACTAAGACACCCATTTTTTTGGTATAGATTTCTAGATTTCTGGCATAGTGGTCAGAGAAGCTACTATCTAAAATTTCAATCTCTGAAGCTTTATAATGGACTTATATCCCAACTTATGGTAATTTTTTAAAAAGATTTATTTATGCATACAGAGCTGGGGTACAAGCCAGATGTGCAGGGGCCGTGAGAGGATTCACCAGAGACATTGGGGAGCAGTACAGGCAGATTGATGAGGTGCACTGCTTGGGGGGAGCTGCAGGAGTGTCAGGAGAGGTCTGCCAGCCATGTGGATCACATTTGGGGTGAGGGATTGAACTTGCACTGAGGTGGCTGCAGCTGGCTTGTAGTGCTACGCCCTTACCTATTAGGCCACCAGGAAGGGCCCATTATGGTCATTTTATTCTTGAAGTTGTTCCATATATGTACTTGGAAAGAAGTGCAGGCAGCGTTTTTGGGAGAAGTGGTCTAGCTCCTCATTGTTATTTTCTTACTTATATTTAATCTCTTTGATTTGTCCATTGTCATAAGTGGAGTATTAAATTATCCCAGTACATTTTGTTATCAATATCTCTCTTAAATTCTGTTATTCGCTTATGTATCATAGTGCTCCATCATCTGGTACATATATATTTATAAATGTCTTTTTAAAAATTGTTGTGTTAGATTTTTAGGCATAATACAGTGTTCTTCATTTATTTTTACATTTGTCATTCTTGATTTTTTCTTCTTTTGGTTGCAATTTGCTTCTTAAGTATCTTCCAACCTTTATTTCTAAGTCTATGCTTGTCTGTCTATGTAAAATTTTCTGTAAAAAACATAAGCTGGGGCCCTCCCTGGTGGCACAGCGGGTTAAAGCACAGCACTGAGAATCTAAAGCCACTTCCACATGAGTTCGATTCCCGCCTGCCCCGGAGATGACCACATGGCGTGGCAGACCTCTCCTGACCCGCCCACTGCTCCCCTCAGCAGTGTACTTCCTCGCTCTGCCTGTTCTGCTCCCCACTCTGTCTCTGTCTCTGATGAATCCTCTCACCCTCCGCATCTCTGGCCTGTATCCCAGTTCTGTATGAATAAATAAATAAATCTTTAAAAAAAAAAAACATAAGCTGACTTTGCACTTACTTTCCATGTAAGTGAAACCATCTGATAGCTATATATATATTTTTAAAGATTTATTTATTTATTCATATAGAGCTGGGGGGTACAGGCCAGAGATGCGGAGGGTGAGAGGATTCACCAGAGACAGAACTGGGAGCAGAGCAGGCAGATCAACGAAGCACACTGCTGACGGGAGCAGCGGGCGGGTCAGGAGAGGTCTGCCACGCCATGTGGTCACCTCCGGGACAGGCGGGAATGAACTTATGCGGAAGTGGCTTTAGCTTCTCAGTGCTGTGCTTTAACCCGCTGCGCCACCAGGGAGGGCCCCTGATAGCTATATTTTTCCTTCTAACTTATTTTGCTTAACACAATCCCTTCCAACTCCATCTATGTTGCCACAAATAGCATGAGTATATATTTTTGATCACTGACTAGTATTCCATTATACATCTTCTTGATCCAGTCATCTGTTTGGGGGCATATAGCTTGTTTCTGTATCTTGGCTATTGTAAATAGTGCTGTAATAAACATAGTCTTGATCTAATTATCCTATTGTTGATAAAAGATATAAAAGGGGCTCTCTCTGGTGGTGCAGCAGGTTAAAGCACAGCACTAAGAAGCTAAAGCCACTTCAGCATGATTTCGACCCCCCACCCTGGAGATGATCCACATGGCGTGGCAGACCTCTCCTGACTTGCCCACTGCTCCCCCTCAGCAGTATACTTCGTCAGTCCACCTGTTGTGCTCCCCACGCTATCTCTGGTGAATTCTCTCATCACCCCTTTACCTCTGGCTTGTACCCCAGTTCTGTATGCATAAATAAATAAATCTTTTTTTTAAAGATTTAAAAAGATAAAATATTTTTGTAGTAAAAATATGAGTAATTGTTGAAGCAATTACTCAATACATGGTTTAATCTAAGTGCTAAAAGCTACTCCTTTTTCTTCATTTACTAGGTATTTTTTATAAGTCTTCAAACACAAGATAGATTCTCACCTGTCTTACAGATTTGGATGTGGAATTACCAGAGAGAGGAAAGGTTGGAATAATTTTTTACTGAGTTCTAATATCTAATCTCTGATCCCTTTCATATATACATGGATTATAGCTTTGGGGAAGAGCTTGTAGCGTATTTATTAATGCATATTTTAAAGCATATGTTTAAATCTATCAGCTCATGGAAAAATTAAAGCAAGGACCATCCTCCTGCTGTGTCTTGGATAAGTTCATTCATTTCTCTTCTCTCTCCTTTTTTGAGATTTAATTATTTGTTGTGTAGAAAACTGGGGTATAGGCCAAAGTTGTGGGGGTTAAGAACGTTCACCAGAGACAGAATGAGGAGCAGAACAGGTGGATTTACTGAAATTTACTGCCAAAGTGAGAAGTGGATGAGACAGGAGAGATCTGCTGGGTCATATGTGGGTTAGCTATCACTGCTAAGTCCACCATGATAAATGGTGGACTTAAAGTCATCAATAAATTAAAGTCATCAATTGGATTGTGCTCTATCTTTCTTAGTTTTGGAGTTAACATGTACCTGAGAACCTGGCATTATTATAGATTGAATTTGCCTGTTCCTCATCTTCACTCTCTTCATACTTCATTCTCCAGTCACAAGTCGAAAGTTCACCTGTAAGTTACACATCCCACAACATAGTAAATTTAGCTTCATTTTCACAGTTTTGGTTCTAGAGTATGTGAAAACAGTATTAAATGGGGAGTCACCTGACCATGTTTTTCCTTCTATTTTTTGGGATTTGGGTTCACAGGATTTATCTTCATGGGCTTCCTTCTTGGCAGTTTCTAAAAGGCAAACAAAAAAAAATTAATCCAATGAATTGGACATTATCTATCTATCAAATATTCTGAGGTTAATCAATGAGATAGTTGTCTTGTATATAAAATACCAAAACCTTCATATCTGTTTTATGTTACTATCAACCACTTAACTTTGGTTAATGCGAGAACTATGTGACAAAAGCTATTTGATATATTCCAATTTAGCCATGCAAAATGAGGGCTATCTTTCCTAGCCTCCCTAATCGCCTAGGACTCACCGTATGCCTGCATACTGATCAATGAGATGTGAGTAACAGTGATGTAATACCTATCCCTTTTTTGCTCTTCAGAATGTGAGCATGGTGATAAGGCATATTGAAGAAGACACAAGATAGAAGGAACTTGAGTTACTGCTAATTTTAAGGGGCTGAGCTATCATACAAGTTTTGACTTTTTTTTTTTTTAAAGATTTATTTATTTGTGCATACAGAACTGGGGTACAGGCCAGAGGCTCAGGGGCAGCGAGTGGCTTCACCAGAGACAGAGTGGGGAGCAGAACAGGCAGATGGACGAAGTACACTGCTGAGGGGAGCAGCGGGCGGGTCAGGAGAGGTCTGCCACGCCATGTGATCACCTCCGGGGCAGGCGGGAATCGAACTCATGCGGAAGCGGCTTTAGATTCTCAGTGCTGTGCTTTAACCCGCTGCGCCACCAGGGAGGGCCCCAAGTTTTGACTTTTATGTGAGAAAGAAACTCTTGATTAAACATTTATATTGATATTTTGTTTGTGTGTTTTTAGACACCATGATTTGGGATTACTGCTAGACATAGCCAAACTTAAGTCCTCACAAATACAGCATCTTGAATAGTAACATCACTAATAATTATTAGCTGCATTCTTACTATGTAGGAGGAGTCAGAAAATAGCAGTCTTTTGCGGAGTAATAAATATAACACTGAAAAATTAAGATATTTCAAGTTAGTGAATGATAGTTTAGAGCTCAGAGTATAGGTTTAGAATTACAGAGAACTTAAAACAAGCAAAAACAACTTTATGCCTTACAGAGACCTTAAAGGCATTGAGGTTGGCTCTCAAAAATTAGAATTTTCAGGGACCTCCCTGGTGGCGCAGCGGGTTAAAGCACTGCACTGAGAATCTAAAGCTGCTTCCGCATGAGTTCGATTCCCGCCTGCCCCGGAGGTGACCACATGGTGTGGCAGACCTCTCCTGACCCGCCCGCTGCTCCCCTCAGCAGTGTATTTCGTCGATCTGCCTGTTCTGCTCCCCACTCTGCCTCTGGTGAAGCTTCTCACCGCCCCTGAGCCTCTGGCCTGTACCCCAGTTCTGTATGTACAAATAAATAAATCTTAAAAAAAAAAAAATTAGAATTTTCAACATAAAGCACACAAATTGGCATAGACAATTCAGAGGGAGAGTCCACAGAGTAAATATTTGAAATGCAGAGTGTTTATCTTAAATATGACTTTTAGAAAATTTTCTAGAGCATATATCTTTTATATGATTGAAAAAAAGCAAGCTGTATTTTATAGTTAAGGTAAAACTATAAAGTGGCTTCCAATCTGATGCACATCACATTTAAAACAACAGGGTTTCTACCAATTTTTCCAATAAAAATTTGCTTATGTAACATTATCACATTATTTTCCCTTACAAATGAACTTCTACTGTAGTTGTGTGATCAAAGTTCTAAGTGTATTGACAATACAAACTTTCTGGTATGGTTTTAGTTTATTGTCAAGGTCTAGACTCATGCTGAGTAGCAAAACATATCTGAGTTTGCATGACATGATATGCCAGAAAAAAATACTACTTGAAATAAGTATCTTCTGTAGAGATTAAAAGCCACTTTACAAAACAGGAGCTGAGGTTGTAAAATTGCATTATCACCTGAAAGGTAATACTTCTCACTATATGTTGAAACTTTGTCTTGCAGTTCAGAATTCACAAATGGCTCCGTTTCGTAAGTTTGCCCCCGAGTTCCCTCTTCCTGTGTAGGGACTACAGGGTACTCAAAGGGGGTAACCTCCCTTTCTTTACTTTCTCTTAAGATATTATCTATTCCTGATTGTGTAGATGAGTCTAAGTCCTGTTGCTTTTCTGGAATTGATATTTGTTCTGCAATTGACTCTCTGTGTGGTCCTTGTTCTATTACTGACTCTCTGTTTGTTCCTTGTTCTGCAATTGACCCTCTCTGTGATCCTTGTCCTGTTGACCTTTCAGGTTGCAATAGCACTGGTTTTGATTCTCTGTAAAGTTCTTGATCTGTAGTTGACTCGATCTGGATTCCTTGTCTTGAAGTTGACTCTTTTTGTGGTGGCCCTTGTTCAATAATTGACTCTCTACTTGATCCTTGCTCTTGAGTTGATCCTGTGCGTGCTTCTTGTTCTATCAGTGATTTTCTGTACTGTTCTTGTTTTTTAGATGACTTTCTGCCTTGTTTTTGTTCTTTCGTTGAAATTATGTTTGGTTCTTCTTCTCCAATTATCCCTCTTTGCTGTTCTGATAAGTGTTGTGGTAATGTTGGTTTCCTATGTTTATGTTCTGGAATTTCTAACAATTTCCTTTGGGTTTCGCTAGCATAATTTTTAGCAAGTAATGTATTCATCTCTAAGAGTGCTTTGTCAAAGTCTTCATAAATGTGCTTCTGATTATCCATGTCTCCCCAGAACTCAGGCAAGTCTATCTCTTCAAATTCAATGAATGGCCCTAATGCAAAAAACAAAGAATTCATTTAAATAATCAGTCTTAAAAGGCTGTCAGAGCTAGTAAATTAATGCAAAAAAGTACTGTGTACAGTGATTGTACTCATCAAAACAGGTATATTTCTTTAAGTAAATAACAGTTACCATTCCCTGAAACATAATAAAAAGCAAAAAGGTCCCAACATAAAAGATGCTCATTACTATAAACTAGAACATATACTTTCCTAAAAGGTATAGTTTTGGAAATGAACAGGATTCTCCTTTGATTACTTGGAGCATTGCGACTTGCTTACACTGAGAGAGGAAACAGAATTTATCCTCTACTTTTGATCCTCCCACATTAAGCATAGGATGAGGAAGGGGAAATAGGTCTTGCAACTTGAATTCCTTTTTCAATATTTACAATATCAAAATAAAAGCAAAACTATATATGGCAATATTTGACTGGGCTATATTTTTCCAAGATTGACTTTCTCCACCTTTACGGTCCCTCACATCTTTTTTATTCCTCAGTTCTTTTCCTACACAGCTCAGACATCTGGTTCAGAATTCTAGGGTAAGATAACATTTACCAGAATAACACCGCTAAAAAACAACATTGGTGTTCAGGACTACAGAAAGTGAGACTCATTTCATAAAACTGACTCCCTCCCTCCCAACTCATTTTGCACTGAATTATAAAATTATGATCCTGCAGTGTTCAAGATTACTTTATATATATCACTTACAGATTTTTAAGTATGCAGGTAATATATTTGTACATAGAACAAAAATATTGACATATGTTGGAAAAATCATCTATTAAAAAGCTTTCTCTTTTAAAATAAAAAAGATTATAATCTTGTTTGACAATAATATAAAAAAGATATTTTATTGTATAAGTTCAGTAGAAGTATGTAAATAAAAATGCGTAAGAGAAAGGAAACATTTTTCTTAGAAATCTTGGAATTGTAAATTAAAATTGGAATTCCTATTATCAACTTAATTTGCAAACAGATTATCTAAAGGTATATTCATTTCAATGAATTTAAAATTAAGTTCTGAGTTCACTCTAGATAACTTCTAGTATTGTAATATAATGAAAAGTGTATCTAGCAGTGGTGAAGACTGAATTTTGTGGGGAATGGACAACTAGATAAAGCTGTTGTAACCTAAGAGTGTGTTATATTAAGGATTCCAGGAAGATAGAATGACCTTGTATCACTCCAGCCTGAGCCTACTCCCTTCAGATGAAACTTACATTGTCTTGGGTTTCGGAGTAAACTTCTAAGCATTCTTGAACTTTGGTCATAGAATGTTTCCAGCAAGTGCAATGTCCTCTGCCGATCCAAAAACCCTACCTAAGAAGAAAGTTGACCATTAGTTATTATAGAGATATTAGTTTATATAGACACAGAATATGGTTTATTGACGTTTTATCATCACCACCACTATTACCATCAGGTAAATAAAAACTGCAGAATCAAAATCAGGAAAACTATATCTTATCTTTAGGCTCATACACTACTTCCCTATGTTGTATCATGTCAAAATGCTTTGCACTTAGTAGTGGCTGAACAAAAATTTGTTGTTACTGACTTAACTGCTAAATGCAATGTACATGCCCAGTTATCTGATCTGACTGATACTGGGTGGCAGGGAGACTAAACTGGTCCCAGCCCCTATGTCCAAATACTTTACCGGTTACTGTCTGCGTTCTACACCCACATGGACAATTGCAAGGCTGCTCAGGGTTAGAGAATAACAACAAAGGGATTTATTTAACAAACCAAGAAAACAAGTGTTACTGAGGTCAATAATGGCTGTTTACTTTATCCAAGGCTGTGTGTAGTACTGTCTAGTCCTATACAAACAGCACTGTGATGGTGTCTTCCTGCTGCTGAAGATTTGCAGCTCCTCTTGGGCATGTGCAGAGCTCCCTTATATACTTTTCTGTTGTTTCACCCCACATACAGCACTTTTCTGGGGTGTTCTATTTTCTACTAGCAAACCCCTCCAGGGGGCACTACCTGCAACAATCTACAGTCTTCAGCTACTGGTGTCATGACCTATATATGATACCTGAAACAGTTAAATGCCTCTTACTTGTCTTGTCCTTTGTTTTTTGCATTGATTTTATTTGGAGAAAAACATTTATTTACAGATAAGTATAGAAAATGATTCTGGTGTTCTCAGTACCCAGTATGATGATTGCTAACATCCTGTATATAAACTTTAAACATGTATAATTGATATTGTGGAACAGGTGTTCTTTTTAATATTGCTTTTACTTATTCAACATCTTATTCACACATATAAGAAAATATATATTACAGCAGTAGATCACCCCTTACCTACAGAAGAAATATTCCAAGACACCCAGTGGAAGCCTGAAACCATAAATAATACCAAGCCTTCTAAATACTGTTTTTTTTTTCCCTGTACACATAAACCTATTATAAAACTTAATTTATAAATTGAGTATAGTAAGAGATTAGCAATAATAACCAACAATAAAACTAGAACAGTAATAATAATATACTATAATAAAATTATGTTAATTTGGTGTTTCTCTTAAGATATTTTATTTTATGTAATATTTTTGGACCAAGGTTGAATCTGTGAAAAGCAAAACCACAGATAAGGAGGGGACTACTATATTTCTTTTAATTGCTGTATGGTATTATATAAAGTGAAAGCACTGTAATATTTATATATATATAATAGCTTATTTTTACATCATTTTGTGCAGTTTTTCATCTCAGTTGTAATCCCTGTGGGCATCCCATCACCAAATCACCCTGTGCCATCACCATAGTTCAGTGCATTTCCCTCCACCCACTGTTTTTGATCCCATCCCCCACTCAACCCCCATAAAATGTGTCTGGTATATAGCTGTTCATTATTATTATTATTTTCTCGCCTGGTCCGTTATACTCCTACTATGAGTGAAACCATTGGTATTTTTCCTTTTCTTTCTAGCTTATTTCACTAAGCATGATCTTCTTCAGCTCCATCCATGTTGCTTCAAAAGACATGTATTTCTTTTTTTGGTTGCTGAGTAATATTCCATTGTGTATATGTACCACATCTTTTTAATCCAGTTATCCACTTTTGGGCATTTGGGTTGTTTCCATGCCTTTCCAATTGTAAATAAGGCAGCAATAAACATGGGGGGAAAGCACCATAATTTAAAAAAATCCCTTTATTGGTGAGCATTTAGACTACTTCCAGTATTTGAATGTAAAAATAATGCTGTAATGGATATCTTTATACATTGTTCTTATATACATATGTAAATATGTACCTAAGATAAATAACTAGAAGTGTAATAGATTATATACTATGAGTATATTCTCCTTCTAAAGCATCTCACAGGATCTGGTAGCTTGTCTCTCCACTTTCAGTAGTCTATAGACACTTTTTGTTCTCTTCTTTTACTTCTTCATTGAGCCAGGAGTTGTTCAGAAGCATCTGTTCAGTCTTTACATGTTTTGGTTTGTCCCAAGATTCCTCTTGTGGTTAATTTCTAGTTTTGTAGTATTGTGGTATGTGAAGATACTCTATTTCTATTTTCTAGCTTTACAGCATTGTGGTCTGTGGAGATGCTCTATTTTTGTTGATTTTCTGAGATATGCTTTATGTCCTAGAATATAACCTTGTTCTATTCTTGAGTGTGATCCATGTACACTGGAGAAGAAAACATATCCATTCATTTGGGATGAAATCTCTATACATGTCCAGTGAATTCATTTATTCTTACACTTCATATAAGGCCTTTATTTCTTTGTTAATTATTTTCTGTCTGGATATTGCATCCTTTTGTGTCAGTGGTGTGTTGAGGTCTCTGACCAATAACAGTATTTTTCTTTTAAATTACAATGACTATAGTTTTGCATTGTATTATTTTAGATCTGTTAATAGTTCCTTTTTGCTATTAGGTGCTCCTATATTAGGAGCATAAATATTGATAACAGTTATATCTTCTTGGTGAATTGTTCCTTTGATCATTATAGTGTCCATCTTTGTCCCTGATTACTTTTAGTTGAAAGTCTAGTTTATCTGATATGAGAATAGCAGTCTCTACTTTACTCTGAGTTATTAGCATGTATGACTTTATTCCAACCTGTTAGTTTAGTATTTGCTTTAGTCTTTCAGTTTTAAATGGGTCTCTTGTAAACAGAGTATTGATGGCTAAAACTTACCCACTTTGCTAGTCTATGACTTTTTATTGGTGAATTCAGCCCAATTGCTTTTAGGGTAATTATCAATATGAAATGTTTATCTATTGTTTTGATATTTGATTTATAATTCTACTATTTGTTTTTCCATTTGTTTCTTTCTGCTCTTTGTGGATAGCTTTCCTCAGTATTTCTATCATTTGTTTGTTTGTTTCTTTGTGGATCTCTATTCCCGATTTTTGGTTAGTGGTTACTATGGGGATTTTACTTAAATTTCTATGATTTAAGTGCTTTATGAGCTGGTGTCTGCTCTGGCTGATTACACAGATTTTGTCCATTTCTTCCTCCCCTTGGAACAGTATTCTTGCTTGTGTCTCAGATGTAGTGTTCAAGAAAATTATGTTTCATTTTTCTTTTCTTGTAGAACTCTTGTATGGCAGGTGTGGTTGTGGTAAACTCTGTTAGCTTCTGTTTGTTTGGGAAAACCTTTATTTCACCTTAATACTTGAATGATAATTTTGTAGGATAGGATATTCTTGGCTGACAGGATCATAAATACATCTTTCTACTCTCTTTTTACTTGGAGAATGTCTGGGCTGAAATCCAAGGAAATCCTAACATGGGAGCCTTTGTAAATTATTTTTTTCCCTTGCTTCCTGCAAATTTTTCTCTCTATCTGGTTTTTGATAGTTTGACAATGGTATGTCTAAGCATAGGTCTTTTTGCATTTAAAAGTTTGGGTATTCTCTTTGCTTCCTAGATTCCCATAATTAATTCATTCTTCAGATTCAGAAAATTCTCAGTTATTATTTTTTTTTGAATGGGGTTTCTGTTCACATTTCTTTCTCTTCATCTTCTGGAATCCCAACTATTCTTAAATTTCTCTTCTCTTTTTCCTTTGTGTTGATTCCCTTTTTCTCAACAGGTGGTTTTTTATTTGAGTTTTCTACATCTGAAATTCTTATTTCCAGTTTAATTCTATCTAAAGTACTTTCTAAATTTGTCTGCACTTCATTCAGTGCCTTTTTGTGATATGTGTTATATTCATATATTCTTTGTAAAGAATTCTCTTTGTTCCTGGATTTCCTTTCTAAGATCTTGCTTCTGCCTATCTGCCTTTGACTGACCTGCCAGTAGCTCAGTTAGTATTTTTTATAGATTTATTTATTTATGCATACAGAACTGGGGTACAGGCCAGAGGTGCAGGGGAATGAGAGACACATCAGAGACAAAGTAGGGAGCAGACAGGCAGATGTTGAGGGGGGCAGTGGGAAGGTTAGGAGAGGTCTGCCATGCCATGTGGGTCCCCTCCCTGGCCAGGGATAGAACTCATGCTTTAGTGGCTGTGATAGCTTCATAGTGCTGTGCTTTTACACATTGCTCCACCAGGAAGGGTGCTCATTTAGCATTTTTAATAGTGCTGTTTTAAAGTCTTTAATAGTTCCTGTATTTTTGCATCCTTTATATTTGTCCCAGGATTACTATCCTTCTCATTTTGCTTTTTTATCTTGTATTCAAATGTTTCTTGCTTCCTAGACATATGTGTAGCCTTATTTGCTGAGTGTGTTAGTGGGACACAGGTTTTTGGTGTAAGGTTGGGGCACAGAGGAAATCTGGGGCTTCAATACTCTATCTCAGTTTGAAGAGTGAAATTGGTTACCTCTTCTTTGGTTCCACAGTAAGCTCTATTCTGTGCTTAGGTTGTCAGAACTTCCCAGCCTGACTCGTTAGTAGTGCTTTTTTCTGGAGAGGGTCCTGGTCTGTGAAGTTTGAGTCTCCCAATGGGAGAAGCTAGGTCTGGACCACCAGGCTCACATTCTGGGATTAATATGCAATTGGCCATAGGTAACTCTGTGTGGGGGAGGAAGACAGGTGGACACTCACCAATTTGTTACTATAGCCACCAACAGAGACATCACTGCCCCGCCCCTGCTTTTGCGGCCACTGCTTCAGTCTGCAATGTCTGTGGGTTGTTGATTTACTTTCCCAAGGATTCATGAGTTGTCTTGCAAGTCCTCCTCTCTGTTATTGGGCATTTTATGGAGTCTGGCTTGGTTCAACCTGTTGTCACTTTGATGTCTTCTGCGAAATGGTAGGGGAGGGAGCTTTTGGAGTTCTCAGTTTCCCAGGTCTGCTCCTGCAGAGTTCCCACTGCTCCAGGTCCAGTATGTGCTTGCTCATGTATCAGCAGATTTCTCCAGGGAATTTCACAGTGTCCCAGGTTGCCCCAATTGTGGCTTGGAGGGTGTGGAGGGGTTACCTCCAGCTTAGTCATACTTCTCTTTGTTTCCAGTGACCACCAATCTTAGTTTGAGATCTTGTGGGAAGGTCTTGGGAATCTAAAGACAGGACAGAGTGGGCAATTTTTTGTATTTGTTTTAAGGGAGAGGGTGATCCCCTAACCTCTACTCTGCCATGTTATAAGTGGAGTCTGTATGAACATTTCAACTTTAAAAGTTTTTACAAAATTGCTCCACCTACACCAATTTACATTGGTAAATGAGGTTTTCATGTTGCCCAATCTATGTCAATACTTGATAGTATTTAATTGGTCAATTTTTTTCCTAGTCTGATGGATAAAAATAGTATCTATTTTAATTTGCATTTCCATAATTATTAATGGGATTAATACTTACTAGTATTCTCACATATTTATTGTACTTGGGTTTCTTCATCTATGAATGGCTTTTTCAAGCTTTTTCCTATCCCAAATTAAAGTCATCTGTTTCTTAATTTATGAATTTTAAATAATGATCATTCTGTTATCCTCCTACTTAATCATGTATCTTTAATTTAATGAGTTAAAGGTTGATGAGTCACTTTCACGTTTTTAATTTTCAAATAATCAAATGTATCAACCATTCTCTCTATGGTTGGTGCTTATAAGGAATATTCTCTAGAATAAATTGCTTGTATTGAAGTCAAGATGTGTGGTCTATATATCTAAAACTTTAAAATTTTGTTTTCCATGTTTAAATCTCTGATTGTATAGAACTTACTTTATTAATAAGATTAAAGTCTACTTTTATATTTTCCCAGTATAGAAAACCAATTGTTCTAATATTATTTATTGATAGTCTCTTCCTACTGATTAATATTGTTAACTACATCATACATAAATTCTCATATATTCATGGGTCTGATGCTGGCCCATCCAATATTCTGCTAATATAACTTTATTTTTAAAAAGCTAGGAAATTTGGCCCTCCCTGATGGCGCAGTGGGTTAAAGCAATATTTACCTCCTGACATCTGTAAGTATTAACCTTAACCATGATCCACTGTGCTATTTTGGGATCCTTAATATTAGTGTTAATTTGAAGTCTGTGTCTGGTAACTTCTGTGAAGTATCTCCTTTTCCCAAAGTATATTAACCCTAGAAAATTACTAAATATCCTTTGAAGAAAACTTGATAGAAATTCTACAGTATATGCTTATGACAGTCTTTTAGAATTTTTCCCAAGAGAGCCAGCCTTCCCTTTATTAACCAAAGAGTGCTAGGTGTGCAATTTGGCTTGTGTCTGGGAATTAGATGAGAAATCAATCAGGATTTTGTATTGTAGTACCTTAACTCATGTTTCTGATCCTATACTTAGAGTTTTTCTGTAAATAGATTTTTAAAAAATTTAATTCCTAAGGATATCATTATCACTATAGAAAAATTCATGTAGGTCAAAACACTGAGATGACAACTTTAATTCTTGCTGTGAACTGTGTTCGTTTTAATTATACATTCTGGAACTAAATAAATAATCACAATGTGATCCTAGACAAATCTGGCCCATTATATGATGGTCTTTGATCTTGATTGTTGAGTCAAAATATCATTTATCCGTGACATCTTTGATATTAACTTTGACCAGTATACCCTGTCTCTGGTTGTTAAGAACTTGTGTCTTCTATCACTCCAAAATCTACCATTCCTTTGAAATTGTAAAGTACACTTTAATGGTCTGCTTCAATCTCCTCCCATATATCACATTCTACCCCATCTATGGAGAATCAAAGATCTGTCTAGAGAGATCAATGCTATCCTTATTAATGTATTTCTTGAGAAAGTGTTATTTAGGCTTACTTGAGAGACATGGCAAAGGTGCATATGGGCAGGCTACATATGAAAATCAACTTCAGAAACCTTGTAAGCCTTTGGATGTCTTCCTGTATAATATGCCAAGGAGGTTCTAGCATCTCAATTTATTGAATGTAAGCCACATTTGAACAAATATTTCAGTTAACCTACCCAACAAACTATTAAATACATTCACAGATATTCAAAATGTTACTCCTAAGTAAATAATGTTGATAAATTTGAGTCAATTCAAAGGAATATCCACCCTCCATAGTCTAAAGACATTAAATCAATTCCTACATGTGTTCCCCAGTTTTAGACTGCTTGAATTAGCAGCTATTCTAAACTATTCAAAAACTATTGAAAAACTTCAGTTATTCAAAAATTTGTTATTCTCTTATAGTGTCAACAACCTCTCGATACAATTTTGACTAGTACTCCTAGACACCCAGAGAGCTGACTGCAATTTTGGGTCTAAGGGTCCAAAGGTACAAATGAAAGTTAAACTATTGAACTTGAAAAAAGCAGACATACCCTTGCAAGCTAACTGCTCAGGTAAATTTAAGCAAAGTTAGTAGTCTCAAATAGGAAAGAAGAAACTTCTTCTACTGTCACGGGTGACTTAAGGAGATATGTTACTCCAGTCTCAGTTTTCACCCAAATGTAGCCATTTCAAGTCTCAGAGTCATATCTGAGTTGTATTGTGTATATAATAATCCATTTCTTTGGTAATCTATTTTCTCTATCAGTCATAACAGACTGGAAGTTAAAAACATTCCCATCATCAACAATAGTCTAAAAACTGGTCATTTAAACATAGAGTTTTAGAAGCATTGCCATAAGGATCTTACCTACCTTCCCACTGTCACAGTATAGGAAGAGTTCAGCAAACATCTTCCTCTGCATGTCAGTTTTTATAACCTCCCTGAATTCATCTGCACAGTGACAAAGGTGCTTAAGTAGTTCCTCAAACATTTCATTTTTAAAGTCTTCAATATGCAAAGAGATATACTGCAGAGAAAAAGAAAGTGGATGATTTTAAATTGTACCATTTACTTGGATTTTTCCAAGGATACAGTCAAATACAATAAATAATGCTATTTCCTATTAACTGCAATTTTCCCCCTATATCTTTATTTGTCATATAGATAAGGCATTTTCTTGTTAGTGCTCTGCTACAGAAAGAGGTAATCAATGTGCCCTCCAACAGCAGTATATAAGGCAGGATTTTGTACCTCACAGTATGAAATAATAGCAGTCATAAAATGCTACCTACAAATTAATAGTTCTAAAAATTGAATATAGTTTTTCTTCTGATACAGCAGTGGCCAAATTCGTACTGAATGACCCTACTTCCATAGCTATAAATGATTGGATCAGGGGAAGATATTTAACCTAAATAAAGCCAATCAGATACTCTCCACTGGGAATTGAGAGTTAGGAATGGCAAGTGCCTAGAGAGGAGTTGGACTTGTGAATGTAAACTTCAAAGTTGTTGGGTCACCAGATTCTTCCATGTGAAATGAGGATGTAGAGAATCTCTACATGGTCTTTTCCTGAAGCCAGATCATATTCCTGCCCTTGGGTTCTGTATATTACATTTTCAGCTACTTAATTTAGGTTAGTTCCTATTTCTTACAATTAAAGAGTAGTAACTAATATAGATTGTTTAAAATGGAAAATTTGGTTAATATATTTCATAGACATGTAACTTTTGAAATGAGGGATATAGTGGATATTTCATATCCACTCATAGAATGTGAGTTTTCTGGCCGTAAAAATTCTATTAAATATAGAATTAATATGAGAAACACTTCAAAAACACTTTGGATTTATAAACTAGGGGTTTGCTGAGTGAAAGTATTCTTCTGTGAATGTTGACTATATGACAGACTACCAAATGTCAACTAACTACACATCAAATTCCAAATGGAATAAACTATAGCAGTTTGTGAGTATCCCACATAAAAGTTAAAAAACTAGAAACACAGAATAGCCTTTTCATAGCCTCTCAAGAAATGAATCAATTAATATCCATATACTTAAATGGCTGTTTTATTAACATAATAATAAACTAATATCCTTTAGTTTAATAGCTCTGTAAACAACTAGACATTTAAACTCCATTAATCAAGTTGTTTCTATGTGCTGTGTCCCAGTCTAGTGAAATCTGTTCTTTTCTCTTTGACTTGAAAAACAAAAGCCTGACAATTTGGTAAATGTCACATTTGTCAGGTTGGTAATACTTTTAGATTCTATAGTTCACTATAGTTCTATAGTGAATTGGGATTCACACTTTAATTATAGACATACTGGAGAGTTGATGAAGTGAGTGAAATAAGAGCAGTAGAAAGAAATCTATTTGGAAACTTAGGTATTATCTTCCAAACTATATATATATTTTTAAGAATCCAGAGATTTATTTGGGAGGGGATGGCAGGAAGTATTGATAGAAAATTGGGGTGGAGAGATGGGAAAGGGAAGGAAATCACTGAAGTGTCCTCATCAAGCTTGTCCCCACTTACAGGAACAAAAGTTTGGTCATGCTAGAGAAAGCTGCAATTTCTGGCTGACCCCAGTAGCTAGCTATCCTACCTGAAAGGAGAGGGAACTGGGATATTTATTTACCACTTCTACTAGTCACTGACCAAACTGTAGTTATAAGCACTGGTAGTAAATCATGTTTTCAGGATATTTGCAAACCAGGAATATTATCGGTCACTGAAGAAGTAGTGATTTCACATAGCATTTGAGAAGAATTTTAGCTCTCTTCTTTTAGTGAGGGAACTCAACAACAATTAATGCTAATTACCTATTTAGTAAAGCAGAGATATACATTTCAATTCTAGGTTTTTCAGAAATTTGCTTAACAAATGAATTGAATGAAGGTCTAATTTAATATTCAGTAATTAAAAAAATGGCAGTCTGAAACACATAATTCAACAATGCATTAAAAGGATTATTCACCATTACCAAGTGGAATTTGTATCAGAGACACCTGGATGTTTCAACATCTATAAAAATCAACAGCATGATTCACCACATCAAAAAACGATATATAAAACCATGTGATCATATCAATAAATTCCAAGAAAGCAGTGATAACATTGAACATTCATTTATTGATGAAAATCCTCAAAAACTGGGGTACATGAACATAAGGGTCAGATATGGCAAAGCCATAGTAATATCATTCAGTGGTGAAAAACTGAAAGCTTTTCCACTAAGACCTGGTAGAAGACAAGGATGACAACTTTCACCACTACTATTCAACATAGTATTAGAAGTCCTAGCTAAAGCTATTAGGTAAGAGATGGATATAAAAGGAATCAAAACCAGAGAAGAAGTAAAGCTATCATTATTTTCAAAACATGATAATATACAGAAAACCCTAAAAACTTCACTAAAAACTGGGCCCTCCCTGGTGGAACAGTGGGTTAAAGTGCAACACTAAGAAGCTAAAACCATTTCAGCATGAGTTCAATCCCTAGCCCTGGAGGTGACCCACATGGCGTGGCAGACCTCTCCTGACCCGCCCGCTGCTCCCCTCAGCAGTGT